GAGGAGGTGTCCGTAAGCATGGTCGAAGAGGAAGGCTTTCTAGCGTGAAAGGTTCATGGTTTTCATGAGAAAGTACATGCGATGGAGAAGTTTTTAAAATATCTTACTTCATTTTTAACGTATCAGTGTCAGCTACAAGCGATGAATTTTGATACAATTGATATCATGGTTGTATTTGTAAACCAATGAGTACGAATATTAATGAATCTACAGATTCTTAGCTACGTGAACTAAATTCATATGACCTCTCAACAACAACAACAATAAAAGTACATTTATATAGCGCCTTTCACATCGGGAGGATTTCCCAAGGCGCTGGACAGACAGAGTTTTGGACTCAAGCTAAAGGTTGGGGTGGGGGAGGGAGGAGGGCAGGGTGGGGGGAAGCAGGGAGATCGAAAGCACGGTCAAAGAGGAGGGTCTTGAGGTGGGTCTTGAAGGTGGCGAGGGAGGGGGCAAGACGGAGGGACTGCAGGATGGAGTTCCAGAGGGTGGGTGCAGAGTGGTGGAAGGCCTGCCCGCCGATAGTGGGGCAAGCAAGGTGGGGGAAGTGAAGTGGAGGGAGCGAACAGGATGGTAGGGGGTTAGGAGGTCGGAGAGGTACGGTGGAGCAAGACCATAGAGGGCTTTGAAGGTGAGGACCAGGATCTCTGTATCTCTGTGTGATGGGAAGCCAGTGGAGTTGGGCAAGGATGGGGGTGATAAGGTCACAGAGCCGAGTGTGGAAGAGAACATGGGCTGCAGAGACCTGGATGATCTGCTGCCTGTGGAGGGAGGAGTTGGGGAGGTCGGGCGACGTTGCGGAGTTGAGTATCATCCGCAACATGGAAGTTGACCCCATGTCTGCGGATGATGTCACCAAGGGGGAGCATATAGATGTTGAAGAGGAGGGGACCAAGGACAGAACTGAGGAACACCGCACGAAAGGAGAGGTGGTGGATGAGGATAGAGTGGTTGACGGTGTCAAAAGCAGCAGAGAGGTCAAGAAGGACGAGGAGGCAGAGGGAGCCCTGGTCACAGATGAACAGAATGTCATTTGTCACTTTGACCAGGGCAGTTTCTGTGCTAATGGTGGCACGGAAGTCCGATTGGAGGGGTTCGAGAAGGGAGTGGAGGGAGAGGAAGGAGCGAAGCTGAGAAGCAACAACTCGTTCCAGACCTTGGAGAGGAAGGGGAGGTTGGAGATGGGGCGCTAGTTAGGGAGTAGAGAAGGGTCCAGGGAGGGTTTTTTAAGGATAGGAATGATGACAGCGTTTTTTAAAGGGGTGGGAACAGTACCAGAGGACAGGAGAGGTTAACAATGTCAGGGAGTAGAGGGGCAAGGAGGTGGAGCTTGGAGGTAAGGAGCGGGGTAGGGATGGGGTCGAGGGTGCAGGTGATGGGTTTCATACAGGTTATGGTGGTGATGACAGAGGAGGGGGAGACCAGTTCAAAGGTGTGGAAGGAGGTGTGGGTAGGAGCTGGGGTGGGAGGAGGAGATGGGGAGGGGGTAGTAGTTGCAGTGGCAGAGGCAGCTGAGCGGATTCCCTTGATTTTGGATTCGAAGAGGTCCATCATTGTCTCGCAGTTGGCATTTAAATTCCGCAACCACAATATACAAATTTTGACTAATAGGCAATTGATGGGTGAAGAGGAAACACGACAATAACTTGCATTTATATAGCTCCCTTCACACCGGACGGCGTCTCAGAGCGCTGACACATGAGAAGGTTAGCCTCAATGAAATGATGGACGTTCAGCCAATTTATCATGAAGTATCCTGACAGCCGCTAAGAAAGCCTCACAGCCAAGGCTGTCCAGCCTGGTCAGCAGCACAAAAGAAGTCTTTTTTGCAAAGCAATTGATGTGATCCTAAAATATCTATTACATTAATTCAGATTTTTCGAATCATTAGGATAAACTTGTCACTTAACTGCTTTTTTGGGGGTGGTGAATGGAGCGTAGCAATTAAACCAGAGTATTTCATTGTCAACTTAAACACTACGGTGTGAAGGCAGTATCATTACATAAAAACAAACAGAATATAAAAGGAGCACATTGTATTGATTATTTTGATGTGGGAAGGTTTATAGAACTGAAATATAGATAAAAGGATAAAGAACAATTCATAGCAGTAGATTCCTGGAGGTAAATGACCATTATTAATGATTGATTAAAACTGACTACAGACCTGTGCCCCTGAAGATTAATAGCTTTGGATGGATTGGAGGGAATGGATGCTTAGTAGACGGTTTTCTAAATAAGAGTTTCAGCTCTTTAATGTAAATCTTTTTGCTGTTACGGTAATTAAAATTTTACAGTGATGATTTGTTGTGTTTTACCATAACTTGGATCACTAAACTCTGACAGGTTTACTATGTTAACTAATACAGAATCTAAACTCTGCTCCACACCTCTTCGTCACTGAGCTTTGTGCAATAACCACTTGTATATTTGGGTAATAAAAGCTGCACAAACCACAGACTCAAGGCTTTTGCCATTCTTTGCATCAGTAGAAAGTTTGAGATCCAATGACTGCTTCGAAGTTTAGTTAATAATTCTACACTATATTTAACATGAAACAAATATTTGTTTAGCTTACTTGCTTAATTTGGAATACAATTGAAATATCGTGTAATACATACAATTACAGAAACTTTAACCATTGATATCATTTTAATTAGGTTTGGGGACTATAATCATTACTTTGCTAAATGATTATGATGATCATAACAATAAGAATGAAGCAATATTTCCAGCAACATCACAGTTTAATGCTCCCATGTAACACAGTATTTACACAAGGGAATATGCCATTTGAAATTAAAATGCAGAAGACCTAAGCTCCCTGGTAAAGCCACTGCCTGCAGTGAAACTGAGCTGTACAGATCTGAAATGTCCTAGATTTGCTTCCCCTGTCTGTGCTTAGCATAAGCTACAGTGGCAGGTGATGTGCTGTAATTGACTTCAATGTCATAATAATAATCCTTGCATTTGATATAGCGCCTTATCACATCTTCGAGATGTCTCAAAGCGCTACACAGAATACTGTAAAGTGAATTGACTGTATATTTTGTGGGCATCATGGGCTACAGAAAGGGGGGAATATTAGTAAGGGTTCCCTCTCCCATTTACTATGCAGTGGGAATTTATATGTGAGGGCTTCGGGTGAAAATGTGATCATGCCAATCTGTAAAGATACCCATAGTCAAAAAATGTGCCTACACAGCACATGAAGGCAAGCCAATGGGGGAAAATCGTTCCCCAGCATAAGCTTGTGCCTACAGAAAAGGAAGGCAGGAAAATTGAACAGGGAATAGAAAGCAATTTACCTGGTACTCCATAATTGCATATGAAGCGTTTTAATTGGAATCCTTGGTGGAAACAAAATTGCCCAGTACATCAAAACATCCCCAATCCATTAGTATTGATTTCAATACATTAGAAATCAGTTGGAAGCTTTCGAATAGATTTCCTGTGTTATAAAGGAAAAGGTGCCATCAACCATGTCCAAATTTATTGGCAGCACCTGAGTTATTGAAAAGTGAATCAACACCGCATGTTATGCTCTTCTGAAAACCTGAAGCAAATTCTGATGCTAATTTAGAAATCCAACTTAAATCCAACCAAACTTGTGCTTTGCCCTGTTATAAGGTACATGACAATGCTGGAAAATTTTGAATTGCATAGTTTGAAAAGAGAAGGTGAAACTGCAGAGCAAAGCAGTGTGGCAGTGAAATGCATTGCTGCTCTGACATGGCCAAGATTTAAGCCTGGGACATTCTTGGGCTGCACAGAATAGCACTATACCATAACATTTGCTCAATGAGCCATTGAAGAGCATCGCTCCATTAATCTTCATCTCAAATCTTTTCCATCTGTTGTGCAACCAATTACAACTGACTGCTACAGGGGTCTTCAACCTGTCGTCGCGATTTACTTCTTGGAGCGTCAAGAAGTGGGCGGTCAAAGCCTGCCCCAGTCCAGGTGATCTTCCAGTAGCTATGGTTTTCTTCACCAATGAATAAAAATTCAATAAAGAAAAATTTGTTTTCTGGGTGACCACAAAGGTTGGCGAAGACTGGAGGCTGTCAAGAAAAGGCCCGCTGAACATTCACACTAGTCTAGGTAAGTCTGTGTTCAATCAATAGTTTGTTCCCTGTTTTTTTCTTGATTGAATATTTCTTGATTTATGGGCATAAGTCAAGAATATCCAACGGTGAAAATGTATTTTGTTGGCTGACCAAAAAGGTTGGCCACCCCTTGTTTTGACTGTCCTCTGTCACAAGCTCAGATTTTTTGCCCGGAAGCATCCTTTTATTGTGCCCAATTTAAAATATAGGTAAATAGTACACCTCACCTAGATTTGGGCCTTCATCCAGAGAGGTAACAATATATGTACTTCATTAAAGTAATAAAATGCAAAATATTGATTATGAATAATATTTAATTTAGAACCACAAAATTGAGTTTTTTAACCTAAATGTTCTATCAGGCTAATAGCCTCCCATTTAATGTTATGCTAATTACATAATGGTAATGTAAACTGTCAGCCATAATTAAAATGTTGAGCCTAATGGGCCATTGGCATATAACGCTAAAATTAATTTGCTGTGAAAATATGTAGCTTTACAGTAGATTTAAAGGCTAAATAAATTTAAAATGTGCAGACAATATTTTAGAAGCCATAGAAATTTACGGCACAGAAGAAGGCCATTTTGCCTGTTGTTTAAGCTATTTAGCTGACTCTTTTGAGGGCAATTATCTCAGTCCCATTTACCTACAGTTTCCCCATAACCTCAGAGTTTACTCATAGAACCATATAAAATAGTACATTTTGGATCAATGTATTTGTGGGAATTGGACTCACAATTAATCCCAAATTACATATATGTCATGTAAAAACATAACAAAACAGACATATTCAGGGATGGTTTAAAGAGGAGATAAACATGCAGCAGCAGTGATACAAATGTGTTCATATTTGATACGTTCAAAAGAAAACCCTCGCCTCCTTCAGATTATTTGCAAAATTTGCACATTTATTTACTGTCAAACAAGTGTTAAAATTGTACATCGGGTATTAGTGGTGTGGTTTCAGTATTAACAGGAATACACAAAAAAGATGATGGAAGCAAACGTGTGCTGGAACCATTTGGATCTGCTTTAGACTGTGCTAAATAAATAAATTTCTGAGGATGTCGCAGAATAAAACATGGTAAGGTGACATCCACGGTTCAACAGTCCATACTGCTTCTTTGATTAACTGGACAAGATTGTTACAACGGTACTTCAAGTGCCATTTGCCCTCTCCCATTCCCCCCGCAAAGTACTGTATATTACATTAAAAGAAATTAACCTAATATCACCAAATTGTGCAAGGCATGGCATAATTGGCTTAACTACATAGTAAAGATTCCAGTAGGAGTTTTAACTGGCATAAATGATACAATTCTTTTGGCCAATATTTTTAAAAAATCAGAACTGCTGGACAGCATTCCTGATCCTTATATCAGAGAGGGAAATAAAAACACTGCTTACAAGAATAGGCGAAATGAATTGGAAATGGGAAAGCTCCTCATTTAAATCTACACAATGAACAAAGTTTAAGAAAGAAAAAAACACAGTTTATATCATATGTGCAACCAAGAACTTTACACAATAGTTCATCATTTTTTTTAAATTCTCTTAAAGATCATTTATATTTAAGTTTGACATGTATTTGTTTATTTTACACTAGCAATACAACAAAATATATTTTCTTTAGCCAATTCTCAGTGAGAACAGACAACTGTACAGCTGAGGAAAGGTGAGGAATAAGGCCTGTGGCTGGACTGCTAGTAGTTGAAGAGGTTTCCTTATTCGTAAACTGGATGGAGGCAACCGTTGTTAACTGAAGAATGATGCAAAGCTCTTCCTGCTTTCAACAAAGTCTCTCCAGGAGTATTAAGGTACAATAGATAACTTTCACAGGGTTCTGAGACCTGTCTCTTGGAGATAATGCAAGGCTGGGGGAGGGGAAAAAAAACAAGATGCAACCATATATACAACTTTGTTCTAAACTGGTGTACTGGAATGGCCAGAAGTTCTCCCACTGCATTCTTGAAATCTGCAGCAGTGTATGTGGGCGTGGAGACTGATGATTTGTCTTTGTTTTTTTTTTGCCATGAGCAATACGTTTCTGTGTATCTACAGAGTTCTTCTCTCACAAGCTCTCACAGAACTGCATGTCCCAGCCATTTTCCTGTACAATGTAAAAGCACCACAGGTCAGTCAGTACACTCTCTGTTCAGATAAGATATGAGGGCACCTGCAAAGGTCCTTTTGAATTTTAACATGTACGTTTTACAGACTTGTTACTAGCTGCATCTGTCCTTCCCTCACATCCCCTTCTGGAATACATCCTTCCTTGTTAATAGGAATAATATATCCATCGCTATTGACCCTGCTGATTTGATAGTATGTCTGGAGTTGGTTGCCAGCACCAAGGTTGGGCATGCTCTTGTAATAAACATCCTCATTCTCACTCCTCTTGGAGGGCGACAAGTCTTCTTCAGCTTCTGGGCTACTCTCTGGATAAGGAGAGTCTCTCAGGTTGGGCATGCTAGTGTAAAGGGAGTCTCTGTTTGGGGACTGCAGGTGATCTTCTACCTCTACTGTAAGCTCAGCAACATAGGGGTCGTTTGCTTCAAGCTTCACTTTTTTCTGCTGATGGTACAGAAGAGAGTGAGTTCGTTGAGGAATCAGAGGGGCTTCAAGCTCTTTATGGTGATGTTCCCCAGTGCTGTCCCCATGCACCAAAGATGATGCATCTGCTACGATGGCGTCATCTTCGCTGCTGCTCCCACCACCAACGACCACTTTGTTTGGCAAGTTGCGATCAATGTTATGGTTCTTGTTTACTCCTCGAAGGTTGTTGTGCACAAGTTCAGAAATGATCATCTTTTCAAAAGCAGTGTCACCCAGGCTCATACCACAGTCAACTACCTGCATGCTGTCGTTAGTGAAGTCCCCATTTCGAATTGAGTAGCTATTGTTGAAGTTACCATTAAGTGGTAGAGTATCCATTGCACTTGTATCCCTGGCGTTGTTCAGTGAATGGCCTGAAACAACAGAAGAGACATTTCAATACAAGCAGTAAATTTGCATTTTTCTCCAAGTAGGAAAAACTTTAATGTAGTTCAGGACAAAATGATGATGCTAAAATTTGTACAGCGTTCAGGATAAAAATATCTGAAAGAGAAGAAAAAACCCTTTGCCCTCGTGATTTAAATAATTCATATTTTAATCTGTGGTGAAGGGAAAGATGTAAATTTTCAGTATTTACCTGTACAATTGCTTTCACACTCCACACCCTTGCATATTTAATGCAGAACCAATAGATATTGCAGAATTTTATGCAATATGCAAAAGACAAAACAAAGTGGGTTTTGTCCTGAACAACCTTAAATCTGACATTGGAAAAAAATACAATCTACACAAAGTGGGTGCAAATCAACGTACAAAGGAAACCCAGACACTGGCAGGCAACTACTTAACAGTCCTTCTCTAGTGAAACATCATGGAGGAAAATAAAGGATGGAAAAAATGGACAAACACAAAGTAAGCATGACAAACACAGCCAGTCATCCTTCACGCTACAAGTATTAGGGTCCACAACATCATCCGAAAACACCATAGACAGCAGGTGGAACGACTCACTTGGACAACTCACATCAAGTCTGTCTGCTCAGGCTATCTGGTCTAAGAGTAGCTGATATATAAAAGAAAGTAAAATGATCATTGTAACATGATGAAGGATCACTCGACATCTCAGCAAATAGTCAGAGCAAGGATTCAGCAAATTAGATCAATGCATTTTTTTTTCTTCCTCCTCCACATGTAATTTGTGTGCAAAAACTTATTTTTTTTGCTGGTTGCTGCCCCGAGGCCTCAAAAGTTCAAAGATTGCCTGCAGTCCTGTATCCTGCATCAGTCATAGTGACAGCACTGAATGAACCCACTCAGGCTGTAAGAGGAAAAGATCGGCCCATGGAAACCATGGCCTTGGAGGTCAAAATAAAAGAAATGTCAGAAATTTCTTCAAGGAATGGTCACAGAAAATGTCTAAACTTTAGTTGTGGAATGGAAAGGATGTCGCCTAGTGCTAATATCTTCTACTACTGGAGGAATGACAGACTCAGCGTGCCTGCAGGAGGTTTGAAGTATTTGGAGAAATGGATATTTTATGGTGATATGTTTCAAAACAAATAAAAAAATCCCTCCATTCTAGTACAGACATGTAAAACAGCTAACACACCATTTATCACCGGAAAAGGAAAAAAATAGAAATGAGGTGAAGTGATGAGCAGAGCATGCTGTGGGAAGTCACATTATTTGGTCATGTATCACAGGAGACGAACTTCAACGAGACAAATGTGTCTGGAAACAGAATGAAGCAATGTGAGCAGAATGCAACTGACCACTGTGAGGCTGCTGCATTGTATGCAAGGCTAGGAGGAGAAGAGCTGGTACTGACAGCAGGAAACAGTTTACTTCAATAATTCTGCAAAAATTTAGCATCACCCGTAAACTGCTAGAATTTGCGTTTTGGGGTTGGGGGAGGAGGGTCAGTCCAGATGCCATGTTAGGGGTTTTGCCACATTTGCCTGTATCTGCAAGAGCTGTATCATGAGTAGATTGTTCCCTCTAAACCAGGCTACAATTAATCAACGGTCAGGAAACTGATGCTCATTCGGGGATTGCTGTCCACAGGACATAAGGCACAGAGTCTGCATGCTTTAATTTGTGGATTTTTTTTTATTTGAAGAAATTGAAATGAAATTGTATCTTGTCAATTGAATTCGCACCAAGCGTGCTCAAACTTTAGGCCTCTTAAAATAGCAGCCTGTAAACCTTATCCTGTCAGCTGTGCTATTGCTCTCTCATGCTGCCCGTGTTGTAACTGAGCCACCAGCAGCTCTTTACAACACACGGTGAACCACTTGCCCACTGAGTCTACTTCTTGACCGCCAGTTATGTTTACGTTCAATTCTTTTTGCCTCTTTTAAAGAAATGTCATGCTGGAAAAAAAATTTACATTTGATAGGCAAAGTTAAGTTTGACTCCCGTACTTGTCTCTCTGTAGGTCACTAGAGGAAAGCATAAGGGAAAAAGCAAAAAAAATGATAAAGCAGCAGCTCCGGTTAAGTTCAAAACAGCAGATAAAAGTTCAAAATGTTTCAATGTACACGTGCTTTTGAAAGCTCTAGATTTCACTTTCATCATTTAAGATTATCAGAAGCAATTTAAAAAAAAACAAGTTGATATCCATTTACAGCATTTGAATATTAAAGTTTTTTTAACTCCAGACATTGCTATTCTAGATTATGGCTGCTACTAAAATATTAATTATTTCCATATGGATGCCTTATTTAATAAAATTACTAAGAAACAGAAAACTCAAGTTTTCAGCTGGGGCAGAATTCTGCTTTCTTTAGAGCATTAATATCATCAATGCAAACTTTGAAATAATTGTGAAACCCTTTTACAATTACCAATGTGATTGGGATTAGCATCGCAAGGTTTGCACCCTATGAATTACACTACAAAAGCCCTTTACCAGGTACATTAATGATGGTTTTGAAGAGGTAATCAAGCACACCTGGTGAGCTAAACACAGCGGCTGAAGGAGTGTTACATACAACAGTTTCCGCAAGCAAAGTGTTATAAGGGTTGTTAGTGCCATGAGGTCGAAGAAGAGGATTTGTTAGTAGATAATTGCCCGTCATCCCTAAAGCAACAAGACAGAAAAAAGATGCATCAGTTTTCTGGCTCTACAGCCATGGTCTTTCTCAAACCACCTAACATGGTCCTGTTGACATGGGCTCATTGAAATTCAGTTAATGAGGTCTTTTGAGGTAAAATTTTCAGTGCAATGCATTTCCAATCCAATGCATTATGCAATACCAAATGCAATTCCACTAATTCATGGGTGTAATATGAAACCCCCCTTAAGTAAATAGCTGCTGACATTTATCATCTCTTAGAAAATAGTTGGAAAAGCCACCTTAATTGCTCTTTACTTTTATTATAAAAATGTGCAGATTTAACAAGGTGCTCAGGGCATAAAAGCCCACCAAACAGCACAACAGTCCAAAGGGAAGGGGAAAATTAAAAGGAATCTAATGCACTTCACCTGCATTGGGAAACCATATAAAATCTTTTAAAGGCTAATGCTGCTTGTATACTATAGAACTGCTTCAAGTGGAACTGTCTTTGCTATGGACTGGGCCTGTTTACAACACGGGTTGCATTCCATAGCACCGGGACTAAGACAAATTGCTTGCGAGCAATTGTTTGAAAGCCGCATTCCAGACTCAAATTTTTGGCTGTCAAGATTTATCTTGATGTCTGGAGAAGGTTCGGAACAGACAGACCACTGAACAACTGCATGGCTTGCCTATAAGGGCAGGTTGTTTCTTCAGCACACCAGCAGCCAGGAGGAATGGCAGCCCACACGTCCAGAGGTGGCATTCATATTGCTACAACAGGAGATGCTGCCTCCAGGAATGCTCAGAAATCCGCCTCTTTAAGCATGACTCAGTGCCTTCGGAAGCAGCAGTATCTCCTTGTCCACTCTGCAGCAACAGCTGCATGTTGAAGCATTTATTTAACAATATGAAACATGTCACTCTACTCGCGTTTTCTGCTAACTGATCATTAGTACTGCCCAATGGTGCAAGTACACACTGCGTTTCTGCACAGTTGATTATGGTTGAGCTTGGTCTGCACACGGCTCCCAGCTGCGTATAATTTTGGTTTAACTGTCCAAACTTATGGAGGATTAGCACTGACATGCAACTTCTTGTCTGACCTTACCTCGCCTCTGTATTATTCAGCACAATCAACTGAGTTGAAGTGGGACCTATTCAGGGGATTGCTGCAGGCAATAGCAACTACTCCTTTTCCTAAATAACTAATTCCACGAGGCATTCATTTTAATTTCGAATAGCTGCAACAAGGTATTAAGTTTTAAACTCAAAATGCTTGGGAATCAAAATTTAATCAGTGTAAATTTAATTATTAAGGAATTAATTAGCACTATTTTTGGACAGTTGATCTCAGAGTGAGTGTTGACATATTCCTGATTTTAAAGAGAGCACGTTATCATCAACAAATCTTTCCGGCGATTATTTATACTTCAATCTAGAATTGGTAAAATGTAATGGCACTATAGAGCATTTCCCAATTGAATCTAAAAGTTTATCCATTGGCATTTATGTGACCCACACTAACAGGATTAGTTTTAGGCATTACACCACAGTCTTTAAAGTTACAAGCACTACACTGGGTAAGTTTGCCTGATATATCCCCTTTTCCAAGTTGTGCATTTGCCAAAACTTTAAATCTTCAATAAAGATTCCCTTGTGTGTACTGTCAGCAGGGGTTTCAAGTTCAGGGAATTCTGAAAGAATGCATATTATATTTCATCCTCCCTGATCCTGACCCCCAGCTTGGTTCCAAAACACTGGTTGTCCAGCGCTTTGGGACGTCCTCCCGACATGAAAGGCGTTATACAAATGTAATTTTGTTGTTGTTGTTGCTTTACCATTTTCAAATACAACATTCAGGTTAAATATTTACATCTCTCATTTTAATTTAGGTTTTAGATAATGAGCTGTCCAATAAATATTTTAGTTAATTCAATATTGCTGTATTGGTAACTCAGAACTGCAGTGCCTTGTAGTTCTATAGCAGACACAACCTTTGCATCTGCTCTAGATATCAATGGCAATGCATGATAAATATACCCTGTTTTAGCAATGTAAAGCCTCAGTGTGGAACTTTGTGTTTTCATTTTATTGACAAATTCTACATTTTAGTTTGGTTGCCATGACAATCCAGACCTTTTGTTTTATCAAGTGATGTCTGCAATTTGGAATCATGTTTCAGGAAGTCTACCCCTTTATTAACTGTGCTAACTTATTCACTACATTTTAGTATGTATTTTGATGCACTACTTATTTTTTTATTAAGTATTTAATTATTAAATAATTTGAATGCACTGCCTGAAAGGGTGGTTGAAACCGATTCAATAACAACTTTCAAAAGGGAATTAGATAGATACTTGAAAAGGAAAAAATTTGCAGGGGTATGGGGAAAGAGCGGGGCAATGGGACTGATTAAGTAGCTCTTCCAAATAGCCGGCACAGGTACGATGGGCCAAATGGCCTCCTTCTGTGCTGCAATGTTCTATGATTCTTAAGGTTTTGACTAACCCACTTCATGTTACTGTTCCTCTGTAATATTCAAAAACCAAAACAGCAGGATAAGGTCACTGAGTCCATTACATCTCCAGTCCCCACCAAGTGTAAAGTCTTATGTAGTATTCTAAATTTCACTAACGACACCAACAGTACATCAACATTATGCTAGTGTGTCAGCGTTTATCACACTTTCTCATCATAAACACTTTTTTTTAAAAAAAATGGTAAAAATAGTCAGCAGTAGCCAGAAAAAAAACCTGAGTCAGATTATATAATGTACTAGAATGAAGCTGTCTAACTCCTCAACACACTAGCATGATTAACATGTCTTATTTCTGCTTAGCATGGCACAACGGAATCTTATTTATAACTAAATATGAATAGTCCTTTTTAAATCTTCAGTTTTATATACGTTTGAGATTATAGTTTATAGATGTCACTGTGTTCAAAAAGTTTTTAAAGTCAAGGAAATTTTGCATTGTTCCTGCTTACATTGGTTTACAAAACGTATATTTATTGAATGTCAAATAAAGTACACATTGTTTAGGGCACAAAATAACGTGAATAAAACATCAGATAAAGTTGCTTTTCTAAGTCAAATTCATTCAAGATGGTGTTTTACTTTTGTTTTAGAGTCAAATAAAAAAAAAGGTCAATTGTTATATAGGTTCTGGTCTTGCCTGGAACTTTAAAGACTGATGTATCACAGAAATGCCAGACTATGGCAGCAATTTTAGACACTTGCTAAAGCCCATTCCAAAAGACATTGTTGTCAATACTTTCTGGGAACTGACCTTGGTTAAGTGTTGAAGTGCTGTTGATTTCACCTGAGATAAAGGAAGATTCTGATTGTTTTCGCACAGTGTCATTCCACATCCTTCTAATACGGCTCTGTGGATAGGCCAAAAGGCTGGTGAATAAAATTACTCTCTTTTTTAAAAAAACTCTAGGGCGCTAAATGAAATATTATAAACGAATCACTGTGTTGTAACATCATTCATGTAACAGACAAGCTATCTACAGGACACAGCTATACTTTAAGGTACCTGCCATTTATGTTTAGATCATAGCAACATTACAGAATGACAACTCGTTAATTTTAAACTCCAGAACCAGGGAGTGACAGTTCATTGATTCATTAACATAAATGCTGAAAAAAAAATTTCTACACAATAACATAGGGACTAACCAAAACCATTCTGCCTTTTATTCCCAATTTCATTTCAAACTAAAGGTTCCCCTTCCAAACACCCAAGACAACCCACAGCTGAAAATGCAAACTATTTTTCTTTCATTTGAAAACTGTCTCTCCTACTTTATAAACGCAAGTTCTGTTCCAACAGGGAAATTACTAATGCCTGGAAAGATTTAGTCTCGAAGGTGTGGAAAGCATGGAAGGCTGGATAAATATGATGATTTCTCTTAGGATACTACACGACATATAATCCATAATTGTTACTGCAAAAACAAAGCTATTTCACTTAAAAAGTGGTGATAGAGGCCACAGATGAACATAGAATTGCTAGATTTCAAAGGCAAGCTGAATGTTATCCATTCTATTAAACAACTTTAATACATCGGTTTCTTTGTCTATTTGGTAAAGCCATTTCTCAGTATAAAAATGAGCCACAGCCCAAGAAGGTCCCAGGTTCAATTTCCAACTGGCACTGAGCTAGCCAACCTCACCCAGAGCTAGCCAACCTCACCCAGGTCCTATAACTGGATCCTGGTCTAAAGAGGGGAACAATTAAACGTTTTAGCCAATTTTCAAATAAAATGATCTGAATACATAAATAAAAAGGCAAGTTTAATCTCCATTTATAGACAAGGATAACTGTGTAATGGTGATGTTATTATCTGTGACAGCTGCACAGAGAAGGCCAAAGATTACTGTTGTACAAAATGTGAAACACGGTACCATTCAAATGGGCAGGCGAATAGAACTGCACGAGATTCATTTTTAACAAGCCTGTCAATTGGATTGAAAGCACCAACAGGCAAGGTTGACCGATTAATCTTGCTGCACATTGGCAGTGACAGCACTCCTGTTCCTGGGTGCTTACTTCTGAAAGGGTGACTACCAGAAAATCAATGGTGCATAGTTTAAAAAGTGGTTCATTGATGTCCTCCAACATCTGAATCCAAGTCCTATAATCAGCATTGACAAGGCACCATACCACTCTATAAAGATAGAGCAAAAATCCCGACAAGCAACTAGTGTGAGGTCAAAAATAGAAAATTAGCTGGCTGGTGAATTGCAGCTTGCTGCAAGAGTCAAATGCAAATATGAACTCAGTCATATTGATAATCTGGAAAAACTACCTAGATGTACTGTGTTTGAGGCTCTCATTATACCTTAGTCAGGTAAAGTCTATAGGTATGATGTAGAGTAAGGGGAAGTCGCCTTTCATGTATGTTGGTATATCGTAAAATGCATATGTAAGCTTGGAAATAAAAGACTTTAACTGAGGAATCTATTCTAATTCTCCCAGATCGAGGGCCTCATTCTATAAACATTTGGCTGGAGGAACACCCTAAGAATTCTGGTTCCTCACGTGTATTGACTGAAAAGAGACAATGGCTCTGAGGATCATAAGGCAAAGTGACACTAAAGACAGTCAGGAATATTCAAAGCAAAGGAGGAAAGTGGAACAGTGGGGAAATGCTGAAGAAATGGACAGATGTAAACTGAATAAGGGATGACCATATGAGCAAAGGAAGAACATTAAGATCATTACAGACAATGGAATGAAATCAAACTTGCGTAGAATGTTTCTGAAGAAAATCTTTTCTTATGAATGATGTGCTATTCATTAACCGTGTGCACTGCTTTCTCTTTCGCGTGGAATCAGTGTGTTTTAAATAGGAATTATATTTCCATAGGTTTCTAAATGCGGATATATAAAAATCAAATCAGGCACTAAGACAAAAAATGTATACTTTGGCGGTATGAATTGTTATTCTTGCCAGACTAAGTGAAATGAATAAAGACAATTTTAAAGTATTATTTGGAGAAGCAGGAGCAATATGAAAGGAAAACGTACTTAGAATTTAAGTTAACTATGTGCGTGACTAGAGTATATGAAAGCGCTTTTAAATCTGTATCTGTACACTCCTTACAATGTCTGTAATTTATAAATGCAAATACCCACAGTGAGTGCGAAACTTAAGACTGTAACTTCACCATTTATTAATATGGAGATGCATCTTGCTGAGTATCTATAACTTTGCAAACTTTCATTGAATTTATGTTGCTGAAATATTGTTTTCCAAATTAATTTCAGTCTTGCTGCATCAGCAGGAAATATACAGTGACAGCAGTTACAGATTCTTGAAGGTAACATGCACACATCGTAAGTTTTATTTAAATGAGGAAACACTTGGCTGATTGTATGCTGATGGCACAGGAACATGTGCAGAATTGTATGACATCTTTGCTGCTCAGTGATGTCCTCCTGATCCAGACACTGAAGCAGCTCTCTGTGAGAGAGATTTAAGCTTTTTACTTCGAATTGTTTTAAAGTTTGAAAGAAAAATCAAGAAAACTGGTGATTTCAGGGGCAATAATTTGTTAACAATCTGTTGTGCCCAAACATGGGAATTTTCATCTGCAAGTAGAAATACATGAAACTCTCAGTCTGATTTGGATATTATTACGTGTGGGGATGGGTTTCTGCATGTGTTTGACACCCGGCTGACCTTAAAAAAAGTAAGGTCTTTCACATCAGGAGGACTCTCAAGGGGCTTCACAGGATAGACTATAAAGTGGAGTGACTGTGTATTTTATGTGGTCCTCATTGATGAACAGATTTACGCATCGAGAAAGCAACAACTGCATATGTTAGAAAAAACTTCAGCTACAATGTTACACAACAACTTGCATTTCATTTATATATCGCCTTTCACATGCAGTAGCATATCAGAGCACTTAACCAGTGGCCCTACACTGAGCATGGGTGTGGGGGGAAGGGAAAGAAGATCTAAGGTATGATAAGAAGAGGAAGAGGCAAGGCGTAGGGATAGAAACAGAGAGTTCCAGTCTTGTAGTGTAGTGGCAAGAAATATGATCGAACATGGTAGAGCGGAGGGGATGAGGGATGTGCAGGAGACCAGAGCCAGCTGAGCGAAGGCAACAGGTAAAAGAGTGCGGGTATGAGCAGGTCAGAGAGATAGGGAGGTGACAGAGAATGAAGTGATTTGTATGTGAACGTGTGGATCTTAAAATTGTCCATTTTGTTTCCCAAACCCTCAGAATCTTTCCCTAATCATCCTTTTCAAATCACAAACAGAGGCAAAGGATTAGAATGGTGAAGGAATGACTGCTCCAAGGGCACCCTGATATCAGCAGCCTTGGGGAAGGGGGAGGAAGATGGTTGCCTCTAAGAGAATACGGAAAAATAACCTACTTCATGAATAGAGAATTCTCAGTGTTTGGAATGAAAAGAATGTATGCCGCTTCTTTTATAACCCCCACCCACCTACCCGAAATAGAGGTAATAATAATAAGGTTTTTTTTCTGCAGGCACAACAGATAATACTTGTCTCTAAAATGCATGGGAAAGAAGCATGCCTATTATCCACAGTATCACCTCTAGGCTTTGAAGCTGGAATCTTGTGCACTCTAAGCTTTCTAAAGTTAATCATGCAGCCCAGTCGGCTAATCTGCCATAACCTGCAAGATTGTTCCTAAACTCAAGAGACAAATTCCAACAAAAAAAAGCAAAGAGCACTTATGTTTGCAGGCAATGTTAAGAATGCAGGAGGAGGGGAGCGTTTCTGGCAGGAATTTGGTTAAAAGGCAGAATGTATTTTGCATTTCTCAAGGCAAGGAACTTGTCCTATCATCTCCCCTTCCCCCCCACCCCCAGCGCTCCTCCACTTCAGGAACAGAATCATTTATTAAATACCGACAGAAAGCATCATTATTCAGTGAGGAAAATTATTCAATGGAATTCAATGCATGAAAACTTGGAAATCACTTGACTGTGACAAGCGAGTGATATTTTAAACAAAATACCAGGCAAACATCTGATGTCAAAGTAAAACAGAGTCGGGCAATGATTGTGGGGAGCGCCGTCGGCTATTTTCATTTTGCAAACCTTAAGAAATTCTGTAGCTATTTGCTTTTCTCCTGAAATTCATTTGACTCCTTTTGCCTTGAACAGTTTTTCTGGCACCTCACTGAGTTGCCATTATTAATGTCTTAACTTTGACAGTGAGCATTGGCAGGCTCTTTGATCATGGCTGGGCACATCACAACTTTCCCCACTGTAATGGGGACCTCTGGATTGGGATCAGAATTGAGAAATCATTGGATTTTCGCCTTCCTAACCCAGGGTGCGGAAACCCAAAGAAGCCACAGACCAGGTGATAAATCTGAGTCTTTTCTAGTTTGCATGACGCAGCTACTCACTGATGAACTCTGAGACACCGGAGATCATCCTATGTTGATGTTTGTAAGCAAGAAACAGCTGGTTACGCTATCTTTAAATCTGACATGGATTGATATTTCTCTTTACATCCACACCTAGTGCAGGTTAAAGGTAATCGGTTTGGCTTCAACTACTGTGACTTGTTAAGACTCTGGCGCGCTCAGATTTACAATCAAAATAAATTTTAAAGTCTCAAGGTACCTGTGTGCCAGAGGAATATCGAGCACTAGTCCTTGTAGTCGACGCCTTCACTGAGCTGTGGGAGCTTTCAGTGTTAAGTCGGCTGCAACAGTAAGCATGACGGAAACACTTGCTGTATTCTTTCCGAACCTATAGGTAACAAAATAGTGACAAATTTGAACAGTTTATACAATTTATTCCATGAACAACTGAGATCACCTTTTGTATTTAAATGTGATGTGTGTGTATGTGTTGGGGGGGTGGGTGGGGGGGGGGAAAGCATACATCTACTGAGTCTAAATTATTCTTCAGCAGAACGCCGCAGATATGAGACAGAAATAAAATGACAGCTTCAAAGCATCGTGTCAAAAACAGGGAGAATACAATTACGTGCTGAAATCTGTTTGCCGCACCGGTGCTGTCTTACACCTTAAAATGTTGTAACTAGCGTCTCCAACGTGTGGAAGGAAGCCAGTTGTCTGCAGCCAAATTAAAACGCCAAACGGCCAAAGTTGTGTGATCCTTAGTGTTTACAAGCTACTTCTTCTTACACAAGCTGCTTCCTTTCCAAAGCCAAGATTGACAGTGTGTTCGCTTCACAATATGAGGCGAACAGTTGTTGGATGTTGTAACAGCACCTGCTGAAGCCCATTTACCAAAATTGAGTGTGGATCTTGGACATCATCCTTTTATGGATATTAATGCGCAGTGACAGCAAGCTGAATGCTGGCGAGGCTATGGTAGTTGATCAGCTTAATTCATTTTATCATTTGGCACAAATAAGCATAAAAGATGGAAATGTATGTTCTGGGATATCTGTCTCTGACAGCACAGCTTTTGTCAACATTGCTGACAGGTGCTCGTACGCTATGCCATGTCCATCCCAGAATGCATCTTACAGCAGCTGGAAGGATGTGCAAGACAAGAGGCCAATCTTCAAGTTCGGTTCTGAGATTTCATTCTTTGAAAAAAATGTGACAGGTTCACGGCTGCTAATCAAACAAGTCTATTGTCCATCACTTATCCTGTGAGAATCGCAGGTCCACTCCAGGCAAGCATAAACAGCTCGGCGATCTCTCAGCTCATCAGTGAGAATTGTAGGCTCACCCTGCAAACCAGCGTGAACGCACACTATTACACATACCGGGTACAATTACAAAGCTTGTTTTGCACGGGACATCCAGGTGAACCTCGTGGGCAAATAATCCATGTCAATGTCAGGAAGGGCACGTGCATTTCGCAAATGATCATTTTTATCTCAAGTGAAGCGGATGCCTTTAGGCTGTAAATAGTATTTATGCAAAATTGATAACTACAAATTTTTGTGTCAATAGATGGCTGTCTTTGGCCAGACATTCCTTGGAATATAAAATCTAGTTCTGTCAGTTTTATGGCCCAGCAAAGAGTAAATGGGAATACACCAGTGGAGTGTTCATTCATGAATTCACAAAAGCATGAAAGTGTGTACAGTGATTGATGGTTTGCAGATTGCAAGACTGTAGATCCTATATTACTGGGTTTTCGCAACACACAGAAAACTGATTTCTCTAAATGTATTCAGTGTTCATTACTCAGAATTATGCGACCCAAGTAATGAAACTGAAGCAATATATTGGCGAATTAAAAAAAAGCAGTTTGTCTTGTCCTAAATTAGTCTTGAAGTGCAATATCTGTATAAAATCAAGTGCAGGTGTTTCGCTATTCCTTAACTTCAATTTCTTAAGATATGAAATGTATATTAGCACCAATACCCTGCATGGTAAACAAGATATTTTTTGTAATTTTCTGTGCGCTACAATGGTCCTGGGACTTGATTCTAATTCATCCTCAGCTGTTAAATTGGTAGAACTCAATAGGCTTTAATAAGATATGCCATCTTAAGGCAGCTGGAATAGTGATTAGAATCCAGCCCTTGGAAATGCAGTTTGACATCCAGCTGAAAATTTCAAGGAAAATTTTTTAAAACTTCCCTTAACAGTAGAAATGATATCCTGTTTAAATCAATCTCAGTGCCACAGGTTAAAGTTTTACACCTGATTGGCACATAATTACATTTTTTGCTTATAAAACACAACACCATACATTCACAATATATGCTTAGATGCTGCCGCTTTCTATTCAGTTCAGTTTTATTCCTCACTCGCAATCTTCCACAAAGGGCAAATGAAACAGTTCCAAAATACCATCTTCTAATTAAGCGTGAGAAACATTCTCCTGTAAAATCCAGTGATGGGGCAGAAGTTAATTAAGAATAAGATGTCTATTACTGTCAAATGCTACAGAAAGGTCATTTCGAAAATCCTGTATACAGATCGAGACCAAAGTGGGACACAAGGAAAAAAAAACATGATTGCGTGAACCTTTGCTACGGGGTGAGAGGCAATCACTTACTTTCTTCTGAAGAGCGCAGTGGAATATAAAAATAAACATTCCTTGGAAGGCATTGAATGTTGTAAAGAGATATGCCATTACAACCGACTCTTCGTTTATGAACAGCAATCCAAAAGCCCAAGTCAGGCCAAGCAAACACAGGAGAGCAAATGCTCCGAGAACCCAAGACCTGGAGGAAAAAATAAATCCGCTTAGTGAAAGCCCATATAAGCACCGCATTAAAAAAACATCTTAATAGCAGCTTTTAATCATTATTACTACAGCTGCTTCTTTTAGTAAGCAGATTAAGATGTGCATGATCTTCACTTCTATAAGCTTGATTTTGACCAGGTTTCTGTCACTTTACAGTTTAGGCTTAAGTGAGACACACTTGCAATTTTCACTCTGCTGCTGACCTTCACTTTAAGCCAGTGGAGTGTCTTAACAGTTTCTCATCAACCGAGTCTAAGAAAAACATTGCACACATTTTTATACTGTGTTAGAAAAAGAAAAAGTATGGAAAAAGCACAAGGGTCTGAGAAAGAAAATGTAGCGCTGTGAGACCTGAGAACGATCGCATGGTAAACATCAATACTTTATGGATGGATCAAAAATAAATTAATGATTTAGTTGGAAGTTCACATTAATGTCTCTCATACTATGCATAAGCACACAGAATAAAAGTACCAGAAGATAAATTCTGAGACATTAAGAATAGCAAGTGGGGAAATTCAAAATTGCAGACAGATTTGTAATTCATTGCAGAAGGTAACAAGCATTGTCGGAAAGCTGAACAAAATAGTGCAATTGATGAACTGCACTTTACAGTAACTTCTGTGAAGAGCGTTGAGACGTCCTCCTGACGAGGAAGGTGCTATATCCAATTCAAGCATTTTTTTAAAAAAATGCGAGCAACGGATAAATAGGTTCAGTATATTTAGCTTCTGGCTAATGATCTTACTTGATATATGGCTTATTATCTTCATAGCTAGAAAGCATTATAAGCAGAAAAGAGAAACAAAAAAATTAGACAATATTTTAATGCAAAATGAAGAATTTTATAAATTTATATGCACTCACACAATTATATTTGAAGAAATTGTTTTCTTAAAATATAAGAAAGGCAAGTGCCAATCATGTTAAATTAATATATATAAAAAGTAATTCTAAAATTGATTTTTTTAAATATTCTGAAAATTATATTTCAAAAGATATAATACTTTTTGACCAAATTATGGCAAATATTAGTAGAATTAGTTAAGTCAGAGAGTATAAAATCATGCATTAACAACATTTTTTTTTCTGCATGATTCTTTCTTACCCTGGTAAATCCGTGTTATAGTAGCCATCGCATACACGATAATTACTGGTGTGGATGAAGCGAAACAAAAGGGGAGGAAAAAAGAGAGAGAAAAGAGAGAGAGAGATCCTATAGATTAGCTCTCTCTCTTCATGCAGCATGCAGTGAATCCAGAATTCAAGTATCCTTCTAGTTCACTACTTCAGCGGTAAACATTACAGCATAATCAAAGTACTAAAAGCTAGCTGGACATTTTTTTCTTTTATAAGCATCTTCTATCTACAAAACTATACACTTACATTAATATATGAAATTCAACGTGAATGTCTGTTTGATAAGGATTGTAATTTGTCGAGTTCCATAATTTATAAATGGCAAATTGTGAATGAATTCCAGTTTGTCTAATAAGTAGAAATCAAGTTGTATTGTACAGACTTTCAGGAAGTGTTTGATTTATAACACTTATGCAAGGAGTTTCATATATATTTTGTTTTAAAAATCCCATGTATTTAATGGCCAGTTAGGATCAGAAAGGAATAATAATCCATATGGATGTTTGACTGTGTGGATTGAAATATGATTTTTAGTTTCATATATCCAAGATCACACACGTTATAAAACTAGAATATTTGCTCTCATTACTCTGCACAAATATTCCATCTGTTATGTATTAGGCAGTTAATAGAAAAGCTAAATGTGCAGTTATCAGAGAAACAACCAACACCCTCCCATCTATCAACAACAGTTAAATCTCTTAAGAAAGAAGGATTACAAAGAAATACTTTTCATAATATATAAATATGAAGTCATTTAACAGAGCAAACTTGAGGAAAATCACTGTAAATATGCAAACAAAGTCACACTGCATTTTAAATGCAAATGAAATTACTTGATTTCTGATGAACATAATGCAGACATTAGAATTCCTTGGCTCTTGTTCAAGTCTAAAATTACAATCTAATTTGGGCAAACATCTATGACCTTTCGGCTGTGGTATGGCAAAGTGGGTGATTTGAAATGGCTCTTTTAGATGACAACTGCTGTGGAGGAGAGATGACAGGCCCCAGCCTGGAGTCTCTTTATACGCCAGTTTCTGGCTAACAAGCGTATTCAGAGGAAAATCAAAAGCTTTGTTAACACAGTCACTTACTTTATGTTTTCCAACCTGCTCGAATCTGGTTTCAGGGTCGATGTATGCTTCACCATTTTGTACAAGGTGATAATCAAGAAGATAAGATTAACCTGTCAATGTTAAAAACAACAACAAATGATACTTACAAAGCGCCTTTCAGGTTCCAAGGCGCTGAGAAAAAAAGGATTCAGAACACATTTTTATTGGAAATGATTGGTTCCAGATGAACATTATTCGAAAATTACTCATTCCAGAATGATTCTTTTGTACAATTAATGATCAGCATTAGCTTATAAATGCAAAAATGATTTGAATCTTGCCCTTGCATAAAATGTAAGTTTGCTACCAGGAAATCCAGGCTTTACATCAAATTTTGACTGTGGGATTTTAATATTGCTTTAAATCCTTAAAACTACAAAACTACATTAAGCACCTACAAGGGCACAAGGTGCAGTTATTCAACACATTTATTTTTCCTTAAAATCAAAACAATATTCCCAGAAATAAAGCTTTCAAAAGCAGTTAGACTATGATTTGAGGCCACTATTATATAAAAATGAACCCCAACATTTATTAAAATGCATTTAAGTTTATAGAATCTATCAATATTACGAGAAACTCTCAGTGTTAAGGGAGTTGGATATAAAAAGGTTTGCATTAATGCATAGCCTCATAGATCAATAGGGAAAAAGGTTGAAACATATCCTTCACTTCCAGGATTTAATCAAAAGTACTGGAGTAACTATTTTATGACATAATTTTGTACAAAATAACATAAATCATTACTTTTCGAATAAAATATTAAAAACTTTAGTAGATGAAGCTATCAATTAGTAGATGAATAAGCCAGGGATGTTTCCCATTGCTTTAGATTAGGCCTGCTATTTCTACACTGTCCTTTTAAGACATATATATGCAATTACCTTGGTATGAGAATCTGTATGAAATTAAGAGAGGAAGTTGAGAATAATGAAGGTCAGTAAAGGCAGAGGATTGGTGGGGAGTGGTGATTTTTAGGTACGTTAAGATTTCACTTTGAAAACTGCATATTCGTCAAGGGGAAAAATACAACTGTGACTGCAAACAATTTGGTGCTTTCCTAAGACTATTATCTTATCCAACATTTCTTATTAAATTGTTTTGGTTGGCGCCATCGCTGTGTAGAACTGGCTAAGGCTAACAAATAAATGAACTGCTGATCATACCTAGATAAACCAGGTAAAGAAAGTCTTATCATTTTCCTTTACTAAATGTTAAGTGGCTGAAGCGAAGTGTTAGCACTGCAATCTACAACAGTTTAAAGAGTTCAACTGCAGACTACAGATTACTGGAGCGCAGAGTGTATTTTATAGCCATCAACCTGCCCAGTCGAATCACATCTACCATAGCTTAGTGGTTTAAAATTCATTTCACACAGCCTGCAGAACTGACATGGATACAATGAGACGCAAGCAGTGAAACACTATTCTAAAGTAACCTATCTGAACTGAACATGTTTCTACTCGCTTCATCCTCCCTGGAGTCTCCGTTACCTAGTGAAAGTAGCTCTAAAGCCTCGCTCATTTTTTAGAATCTTTTGCTGCTAGCCATGCAAAAGCCCATTCCTCTCTGGGACTGCTTGGCTGCAAAGATACTCTCTGAAGAACGGCTTCAGAGCATGTGTGCAAGCTGAACTCTAAATGAACTGAATTAAATATTAAAGGTGCAGATGGAGCTGTCCAAATGATAAGAACAGCTATTGACGTGTCATGATCTAAGCTTTCATTAAAGCAATTCAGGCATACTAATGGCTTCCCACTGCTCATTACTTACATACAGGTTTTCATAGATATGATAACCTTCGCACCCACAGGCACGACACTTCATAGGAACGCTGGAGCTGACAAAATTATGCCTTTATGGGGCACTTTTGTTCGTGGCTTTGGCTTGAAAGCCTGGGCAGGGGGTACAGTTTCAAAAAGATAAGAATAAAATCATATTTAAACTAAAATGATTTACAGGTTACCCCTGTTTTTAAAGCCCTATTGGATAGATATTAATGATAGAGATCCCCAAACTATGGCTCCACTGCATTCTAACTCTTACAAGACACTGTTTTGTATGCTTTCTTGCCTTTGCCTGATGGGATGATCAGAGGGCAAAGCAATTGGAAGATTAGAAGTGCTCGCAGGAACTGTCCTACTACACTTTGATTGCCACTTCCTTTTCATTTGGAAGCTGGCACCACAACTCCCTGGTGTCCTTCAGTTGCAGGCCTAAATGATTTGCTGGTGGAAAATAATGTCATGCCAGGTAAAGAAGAGTGTACTGTGACTAAGCATGGCCAATCTAACTGAGTGCCATTCATTTAGGTTTATTCATTCTCTACAGTCACAAATAGCTAAGCAATTCTTGGAGCTTCCCAGTTAATAACCCACCTCAAATAAAATGTTCTGCTTACAGAAGATTTAACACTGTAACTACTAGGTTACAGTGTGTACAGGTCACCGTTGGTGAGCAAAAAAGCAAGGCTCAGAACTTCCTTTTGAAAATACTGTTCATGAAAACCCTTGCATCCTTTGTTTTATTATAGGGTATCTTGGCAAAATGACAGTTGTATTTGGCCTAATTCCAACTCCGTTTCCTGAGAATTTATTTACGTACATTATACGGATATCAACACTGCTGGGTCTACGTGTAGTCTTAGAAATTGCTTACCTACAACAGAAAAAGGAAGTTTCCTTTACATAAAAATATGTTGGCCTCTTGTAGATTTTTAAAAAAACTTGGAATGCTATAAGCTATATTTCCTGCCCTGCATTATGTAGCGTGATGATTTACATTGTGAAGCAGAATGCAAATTATGTTATTGCATCTGTTGATGGCAAGTGGAAATATCACTCAGCCTGCATCTGGTAAGTTCAAACACTATATTTTCAAATCCCTAAGTGTTGAAAGTTGCTTTATTTTAAAATATTCTGTGCCAGCCAACAAAGGACATTGTTTGTGGCTATAAAGGCCCCCTTAAAACACCCTTCTCTTGGGCTTTCAACCTATAAAAATGCAGAAATAAAAATAAAACAAGCAGTTAATAAAGCCAATGGCCTCACCATAATAATAAATGTAACTGGTCCAATGAAACTCCAAATGAAGTGATTATCAATTCTCAGCCAGCAGCTGTAGTGAGAGGAAAAAGAAATAATTAATCAAAATTCAATTTCAAAAGAATTCCCAGTTACAATTTAGCTGGGGATTGTTATTACTGTTTCCTAGGATATCTAAAAATACAACACTTAAACTGGCCAGATAGAAATATGCTTTTCAAAATGCCATCAAACCCAGATAAGATCAATTCAATTTGATAAAACTTTTGATCTTAAAAAGGAACTGAGGCAGCCAGGAATGATAATCGATTAGAAATAATTGACTTCAGTATCAAAAATTGGTTATTTTTCAAAAGAAAACTTTCTTTTCAGTCTATTTTCAAAGCCTTTACATCTTAGATATATTACAATTTAACCCTTGATGTCCAATTAATCCTAACCGGATAGCATTTGTTCAATTTATGTGGGTGTGCACATAGTGGCCACAATTCTAAGAGTAGAATCCAATATTGTCCTGGAAGATGGTCCATTTTCTTTTGTAATGGAAACAGAATCTGAGACTTCCATTAACATGGCGTGTCTTCAGGATAATTCTTTCAGTAATAAGCTGAAGAAGCATATTCAAGGTCACGTTTTCAATATATGCACAAACACACACACACACACACATCAGACAGGATAGTAAAATTCAACAGAACACAAAAAACACAAAACATTGCTTGCTTTAACAAAAACAATTAGTTTGCTGGGGGTGGGGAGAGGGTTTTTTTGCACAAAAGGTATTTAATGAAGCATTAACCTGAAACCATGCTCTTAAGCTAGTCAGGTATTTTTGCTTGAGAAGGTTTTCACTTAGTGTCCGTTTATAGCCAAGAAGTATTTACTTTCCAATTTGTTTCAGGTCAAGTCTTTTGTGCATCGGGGAGGGTGCATAATCTGGAATCTTGCTGCCTTTCCAGTACAACAATCCTGGTGCGCTTGGAGAATCACAAATTACTTGAATGCAATTTGCATGCACCGCATCCATTCTATTAACATAGCGCTTTTGTTTTGCTGTCTGTATCCTGCTGACAGACTGCCTAGCTTCCAGTAATTCTCCTTGTGATCAACAAAATGCCGAATGTTTAAGCTGCCTGCCATTACTTACGCTTTCTCTGTTCCATAACTCTCATAGTCGATAGCCGTAGAGACTCCCACAACAATAGCTGGAAAGAGGTAACCGCAGAGGTAAAAATACTTTTTCCGAGAGTATTCACTTTCAAATACCTCCACCAGCAGGAGATAGAGCTGGACGCCTTCTAAGCACATCCAGGCGAATGCGGCAAGGAAGAAAAAGTGCAGCACGCCAGCAAAAATCGGACAGGCAATCTGCAACAGACAAACATTAATTTATCTTTACAAATAAATAACAGAAAGCATAGGCTTCAACCACTACTTTTCAAACTGCTGGAAAATTACTGCCCAAAGTTTATTTTAGCACCTACACCTCGAGACTGGATTTTGTGGTGTAGGCTGGAATTCCAGTGCAGGCCAGGGGCACAGAATTATCAGAACTGTTACTGTTCGATGAACCTCACATCTTTATTTGGGTCGTTAAAAACCAAGACCTTGTCTGTCTGTTTTCAGGTGGACTTTAAAGAGAAGGGAAATGGACTATTCGAAAAGAAAAGGGAGTTCCTCCCGACGTCCTGGCCAACAATCCCCCCCGATTCATTGGTCACTCACTTCATGCTCTTTGCGGGAGCTTGCTGGCGCAAATACTTGTGCAAATGCTGGTGCCATGTTTGCCAACAAATACCCGAAGCACTTGGGAGATGATTCAAGGTGAGAAGGTACTATTAAGAATATGCAAGTACTTGCTTTCTAGAACACTTATTAAACAAAAGACTGAAATCAAACACAACAATTATTTCAGTCCTCATCTGTTTTAGGGGAAAGGTCAGGCTACTCAGCTGATTGGAAGGAGTAGTTTTCCAAATTGCTAGTTTCAGTGAAAACAACAAGGAACTCTACTGTGTAAGTCACATTAATAACTCAATCCCTTCGTCTCTACATCCTCTAAAAATTACTATAATGACACCAAACTCTCAGAACATAGCACTGACATTTATATAAATGACTAATCACCACAAACCTAATTTCAAACTTTGCAATTTTTAAATAATTCATCACTTTCCCATGTAATTACATTAAAAAAACATAATGCAGATCGCATATGCATCTTATCTATCCGACCTCTGAAATAGTTATACCACAAGATGAATTTTTGATGAGGGAGGGCGAGAGATTAGAAAAGTAAATGAACAGAAATTACCAAGGATTTGATGAGTTATTAAGCATTAAAATACTCTGTAATTTGGGATGTTTTGTTCAAAACAGTTTCATATTGTGCCATTTAATTTGCACTCACTAAAATGTGATGCTCCCCGGACTTCAACTCCCTAACAGAACAGTACTGCACACTTATGGGTGTGGAAATGTCTCACTGTTTGAGCAGTCACACTGAAGTGCCTTCAGATACGAGAAGGGAATGTTCCAGGTTAGGATCAGAGCAAATTAAAATCTTCAATAGAGTTCCTAACACCCTTAATAATAAATGTTGTTAATATATTAGACAGGTAACTGCTAAACAATACTAGATCTTATTGATGCAATACACATTCTAAATCTCCAAATAGTCTTAATTCCAAATATTTCAGATTCTATTTGACAAATAAGTTATTTTACTGGCTGATAATTTAAGAATAAGTGTCCCGATCCAAATGTTAGGTGTTTAGCAGACAATCCCATCTGCACTGACTGGTAAAGTCATGTGAGTTGTCAGTCAAGAATAGAAATCCCAATTTTTGCCCTCACCACCACCAATTCACATTCAGAGCCTCCTGCTAAATGCACACCCAAGTTACCAATATTAATGATTTCAATAATGTTCTTCAAGTGTTAATATCTCAATTCAAAAAAGGATTGTATGTTGCTCAAAATCACTGTGTGAACAGATTGCACCATGGTTATACAGTTGTTGTAAAACTGGAGAATACCAGTTTACATTGAACATAGAGGACTAAGCATCTGAGTCCTTGTGCTCCCTCCAAAATGGTCAGGGACAAATACCGACTCTTTGCACCCATCTCCCACACAGAGTGAATGCTACAAGGTGAGGGTTGGGGGCTGCCTCAGGCAATGGTGTCATGCCATATGAAAGAACACAGCACCTCGACACAGATGGAAAGAAACTTGAGAAAATATGAAAAAGCCCCTCCTCCTGCCTCCCTCCCAAAAAAATTAACTCAATATTTTCTAGATCAGTGGATTTATAGTTGACTTTCTGTATTGCCAATAACCAAATCTCCCAATGAAACATCCTGGAGAATGCTCTTTAATCAAAAAGACAAACAGTGATGGTGTTAAATAGCAAAGCTCTGACCCATCACAATGTGTCTTTAAGGAATGGAGAGTTCATGGGAGTCTATGTAAAGGTAGCAGAGATACAGCCCATAACAGCACCTTGATTTATGAACTGCCTAAAACCCTCCAATTATTCAATATCACAGTTAAACATGGCCACCACTCAGCAGGCCTTGAATCATAAGCCTATATAACGCCATTGCGGCAGTTTGATATACAAGGTTAGGAGAACAGAGTCTTATTTAAATTCTCATTCATTTCAAACAAATGCCATTTTCCAAGGCCAAGATATTGCAAAATCAATACAAAGAGCGACACATTACCTCGTATTTAACCTTATCGATGCCGATTAAGAAAATGAATTCAGCAATAAACAAATTAATGCACAGGTTCTTGTGGATGGTGTTGCGGTCACTTTGGAGACCTCGGAAGAAGCAGAAAGTAAAGATGCAAATAGCCAGGCAGATCAGGGAGATGACGATCCCCACCCAGGTGATGACAGAGAGGAGCAATTCATGCATTCCACTTTTGTACTGGAAATGAAGTATGGTCAGAATTAATATGGCGGTTTATCAATACAAACAGAAGATCAGCTATGTTTCCATTCATCATTTCAGCAGGAAGCTGCCAGAAATTTACTGTCTTCTTTTATAGGCGATACTGGGAATTAAATGCTCAATGATCGTCAATCATCGACTAATCCTTTTTTACAGGAAGTGATTCATGTATTTTTTTTTAAAAAGTGGGGTGGGGTTGGGGGGGGAACTTGTCTGCAAACAATAATGCAATTGGGGGAAAAGGCAGCTGTACTTTATGCTGTCTGCATTTAGGATGTTGCTTTGTGGAGAGAATGAGTCTGAGGAATGCATTATGGACTCACCTCAATCTCCTTGTGAGCCATGAGGATTGCGAAGTTGGTCAGGTGGTGACACTCACAGGTTGTGTGAGTCTTATTGGTGTCCACCAGCCTGCAACCTTTGGTGGACCAGTAACCCATCATGGTTCGTTCAGAGTAGTTCCAGAACGAGCAGTTTGCGTTAAAATAGTTGTCGGGCTATAATAAATTGCAAGGAAGAAACGGAAAGAAAATGTCAAGCTTTTTCTCATGTAGGTTGCAGACCACACAGATTATTTCAGATTTTTAGACCTGAAAGATACGGCTATCAAAATCTAACTGATTAAAGAGCAGGCATTTATTTAGAGCAAAGAGGCAGTACTAATCAGTGGAGCAAACTCATTTAATACAGATTCTGTGACTAAATCAACTCTTCAGTGATGTGTTCACATTCTAATAAGACACATTTGCACTCCATTTTTATTCAACAATGTTAATCTTATGACCTTCATTTAACTCAGCGAGTCAACTTACATCAAGGTGCTCCAACGTAAAAACTACTGGATCAGACAGGAACACACGGATAGACTCCTTGTTGATAGAAGCTGCTATGATGTGGGAGTTAACTGCGATGGAATAGTTTTGTCCGTTTGTATCACCTAGATTTATTGTTGCATTTTCTGTGGTAAGAAACTGGCCCAAGCTTTTGTACAGAATGAACACTAGCTTTGCTATACCTGTTGGCAAAAAAATGGTTACGATTCAAACATATCTTTTTGACAGTATGCTTTGATCTTCACCCCTTTGATTTTACCTTCACGTGATCGACTATTTATAGCTAATAAAATCCAGTTAGCCCAGAGTAGTAAAATCCTTACCTTTACATGTTTAACACGGGGGGAAAAAAGATGAAAACAAATTTAGTCGAGAGCAGTAATCCTGACTTGAGGAGGAATCTGGTTTGCTGCCCTGTGCTTACCGGTGCGACTGTTTTGCTTGACAGTGTTGACTGAGAGCTGGATCGAATTCCCACCCATATTGCCTTGGGGAAATTTGAAGTCCTGGTCCTGGCCCTCCGTGCTGAGTACACCCACCTCCAGAACTGGATCAGCCAGATACGAATTATAGTTTGGGAAGGAGAGCGGGTGTGTGTGAGAGAGAGAGAGAAGCAAACAGAAGTTTTTACAGTGTAGTCAGATTACAAAGTGTCAGACAATGAGCTGAAAAATCATTATTCTGCTATCACCATCCTTCCATTTCAAAGGATGTGCACTGACATGCTCAGAAAGCAAGTGGTATTTAGTAAACCTCCACAGACAAAACTAAGGAACAGGCTTTGTTTTGGTTAAGACAGGACACCGACTCAGCAACTCCATTGTTGTGTAAACAGGGCTTAAACAACAACAAATTTACCTTTACACAGTCACAAAGAGACATACTTGTCAAGAAATTCTCTGATGGATCTTGGGATGTCTCTTTGTCATGATTATTTTACAACACTACTGCATTGCTGACAGTGCTGGAATATAAATAAGATTCTGCCGTTACCATCGCATTCTGGTCTTGGTTCGGTGCACAGATGCACGAGCACCCATGTCGGAAGGGTAAGCAGACCACCGCAATGCAACCGATATGTGTCAAACCTTTCACCTTCCCTTTTCAGCTCAAGTCTGTGATACACTGAACACAGTTGCTCTGCAGGGTCAATTTTGGATTTCAGATTGCTGGATAATAAGAGTGCACTCAACAGGGGGACAAGCAAGATTTGCAACTTTATTCTTTCTTTTGACAAGTTAAGCATCTTTTGCATATTTGTCCCATGCGGTGAGACTGCAGGCAATCTAACCATACTCCACATTTTCAGTGCCAGTAAGTACAGCAGTTTGTGATACTGAACTTGATTTAATTGGAATACCGGTACTGAATACCGTTTCTCTTCTGAATGAATGGAGGAATTTTGTGCTATTGTTTCACAATACTTTGAGATGCTTGTTTGTCACTTATTGCCTAGACAAACAACCTCATCAATTGAAGCATATTAACACATAGAATATACTGAGAATATGCCCTCAAATACTTTCCTGCAGCTCATATATCAGTATCAATGCAAACACAAAAACCTTATGCAAAGCATTATTTAAAGGTGCTTTAAGCAAGCAAGTTGAAGGTGCCAATAATTAATTGAACACCTGGTCAATAACACTCACTGTAATTCAGAGTTAGGCCATGCAGCTGTACCCTGAGTAGAATCAGGTTTTAGTTATGACTGGAATTAACTGCCACATTTATCTGTTCCTAGTAGGGTTCTCATTTGGAATTCAAATTGACTCAACCGAATTCATATTATGTTTGTGCTGAGAGTCTTATCTTGGGTGTGCAAGATTAATTCCTGCTGGTGAAACTGCGAGAGGTTGCACAAAAGGTAAGAAATGAGGAAAATGGTCCATAGTGTAGTCAGGCTACCTCATTCAACAGTCCAGGCTACCTGCCTGACAATTTTAACTGCTCGTACTGATGATATTAAGTCATTTGGTCAGGTAACTGATATACGGGAGATACATTCTTAGTTTTGGGTCGATATACAACATAATGAGGTTTCAGTCAAACGTTGTTGCGAAGAAACTCAAAGTCTGAGATGTCCACGAGGCTTGGGTTAGATGGGTTCTGATGTGGGGTAAGAGAAGTAAACAATGATACAGATGTTTAGGCACTCCATAAACATTGGTAGTGTATACGAGACTGGAGGAGAGATAAATATTGTGCTGTTTTATAGAATAAGCCAATGGGAGTCAATGATTGCATACAGCCTGTGGAAGGATATACAGTACATCAGTCCCTCCTTCCACAGACTGAACACAATCATTGACTCCCAATAGGGATCAGTAGTGAAATGACCTTTCCTCAATCCTTGCTGGTTTAAGTTCTTAAATCTGTCAGTGCTTTACTTTCTTTCTCAATTTCCAATGTTTATTAGACTGCAAGTTGTTAGGATACAATGTGATGTTGCGCAATGACTCCAAGACTTTCTTTACCTGAGGCACTTTTGATGCCTTGTTTACAGTATATCTCTAAAGTTCACATTTGTTCTGAATTTACAACCACTTTACATCCAATTCCACAGAATAAACAGTGCAGACTTAATTACTCCAATCTGGCTGAGGTAATAGCTCTTGCCTCAAAAATCCATTTAAAATCCATTTAAAATCAGCCCCACAGCATCAGGTTGCTGACACAAACAGTCTGATTTGCTTCTAGGCATTTCCAGCAATGGGTAGTAACATGTACAATGTTTTTATATCTCGAGTCCACCTCCTGAGGAAAGGCCAACTCTGGAGGCAACTTGTAATGCAAAACGGACGTTTTTCCCATCATTTCATATTTTGATCTCCTGTTGCCTCCACGTAGGTCTAACTTTGGAATGAAAGGGGTTGGGCTGGAGAGTCCAGACTTTTATGACATTCCACACATCCCCTAACATCTGCCGACATTTCTAAGCAGTCCACTTCAACCACATTTGGTCATTGGCAAAACGTCGTAAGGATTTTTCTATGTAATCTCCGCTACCAGCACAATGCAGCAGTAGAACAATTGAAAAGGCTGGCAGCAAGGTTACCACATATACAGGCATATCCCGTGACCTCCGTTACTGTTATTTGGGCAGTTGAGATCTCGAAAATATATTACTAATAATAGCATTGCTCAACATACAACAATGCATGTGGCCTAACGCATCCCAAATAAGCTGGTATCTACCAACTTGCTCTCCAAAGTCACTGGAAGTCCCATGCATGACACAGTTACATACGTGGACTAATCGATAATTAAAACTGGTCGCATTTTTCAATGATATGTTACGTATCACAGGTCGAGTATTTACTCCACAACCTCAATTCTTGAATAGATAGTTTCCTCCATATCTGCCAACTCACGCCACGCAATAGGTGTAATCCCAAAGTGGTCAATCCAAACCCAAACTGGTTTTGCTTTTTTTAAAATCTAGAACAGAATTTTGCTGTTCGGGATAAGAAAATAACCATTTGTTGGAAACTTACATTTGTCTTTTACTGGTAAGAGATCAGAGTGGATACAGTACTTTGAATGGTATGCATTTCAAAGTAACAGATGAACTGAATGTTTGCTTGCTGTGGGTCGTTCCACATTGGATTTAGAGGCTTACACTATACATGTAACTTACATAATTTTGAGCAGTGTGGGGGGTTGTTTGTATAAAATAAAATCTGCAATCTTTGTGTCCAATCTGTAGATTGAAGAGTGGGATTTCAATGTCTGCAGCTCATTCCTGTTTCTTTTCTTCATGATTGTATTCTTAAATGTCTGAATGAAATGATACCTTCTCTCACTAACATACAAAAGTCTTTTCATGCTCACTATTAACAGCTGAGGTCTCTTTGATCTGCAGATTATTCAGGTCAGGAAAACCCGTTTATCATCAAACTTCCTTGCAACAGAATGGAATGTTGACATTTATTCCCTTTTGAAATATATCACTTCTGTCAAAGACAGACGGGCAATGATTCCACCTTCTGTTTTTTTGGCCTCACGAAAGCATTTGTGTCATGTGTTTGATTTACAAACAGGAAGAGTTATCACAATTGAACCTGACAGATCTGTGTTGTGTATCTCCACTCTAACATACGTGCCACTCACCTATATTATCAGTGGGTACTTTGACTCTGGCTGGTTCAATCAGATTGTCTGCCAGGACAAAAGCCCCTTCCTCCAGCGTGTCCAGCAACATAGTGGCAGTGTGAGCCTGCTCAGTTGAATTCATATCTTTCCACGAATCCAGTGCTTCAGTTCTCAACAAGTTGTCAACAGTGTCCACAATTGCCTGGATCCATTGAAACAAATCTCATTAGTACCGTTTCACGGCAGGTTTGCTTAGACATTTCATGGCATTTTCAAATATGCAATAAAGCAGCGTGTGTTCAATGTAGACATTCAGGAAAGCAACAAAAGCAACCTAGCAGATCCGGCAGTACACAAAGGCAATTATGTAGAGAATGTTTCTGTAGCAAATGATTTATGTATTTTAATGTTTCGTTATTTTCTAGCTTTCTCACCTCACCTGTGTGAGGTCTCAATGGAGATGAGTTTTCCTCCATTACTTACAAATTCAGAGCCTATATATTGATGAATTAAAATATGAAACAAAGAAAAGTAAAAAAAATATTAGTGATCTTCAAAGTTTTATTAACCGTTTTTATTGCATGCAAAAGTGTAGGCGGTATTGAGTCTTTTCCCCTTCATCAAATATTTGATGCTTTAAAAAAATTATAAGAAAATGCAGATTAGGGAATGGAAAATGTAGCTCCAGCAGAGAAAAGATTAGTAAACAACTTTAAATATTACATGGAGAATAATTAAAGCAATTTGTTGTTAATTTTTTTTTCTCCCTCACCAATTTCTCCTCCCTCACCTCCTCTTCTGCTGAAAGCAGTCCCCCCACCCGCCTTTCCTTGTTCCACAGTGGGCAAGGTTCCACCGTGCTGGTTGCTCTCAGTACCTCACCAAATGGTCATTATTCATGTGTGAGCTTTGACAGTGAGTGTTGGCAGGCTATTCAACCATGGGAGCATCACAGCTGAGCGTGTGTAGCTTGCCAGGATGCTTAGCAGGTTAATGATATGAATGAGATGGCTGTCTATTTTTTATTGTAATAGTATGTAGTTGAGAAAAGAGAGGGCTACATTTGCATTATCCAACCATCTGAAAAATATTGCCAGAAGGTGAGGGTGCCATGGAATCTATCAATCATTTTGCAGTCATGATGCATGACTGTTTTTGGAGGCTAATATCTGGAGAAGGTCCAGTCTATACAGGCTAGTGAGCAAGAAGCATCACCACTATAGTGTACTCATGGGCTCAGCCACAGTCTAGTGTTGCTTCCTTCCACAAGTGCTTCTGTCTACCACCTATTTAGGTGGGTCTCAGCGCCTCACACCCCTGCTTTAGGGGTTAGAGCTGTCACTGGCAGCATCGCTATAAGGAAAATGCAACAGAAAGAACAGTTTTGTGAGAGAACATTCAACATTACACCTCCATGGAGGTCGGGGGGTTGTAGGAAATAGAGAGATTCTTGCTTGCATCACTGAACTAAGTTATCATTAATTAAATAACATGTTAATTGCTTGCACCAAATGCACAGGGAATTGTTGGTGGGAATGAAAAAGAGGTTCACTTTCTATCCAAAGCATGAATGCATTAGTTTACTTTTACATCAAGAGGATAGAAGCTGAGCTCCTGCTCGATGCTTTATGGGGTCATTTCCCTTTAATAAAAGAAGGTTTGACTGGATACGGCACAGGTCACTAGTCATGGGATGGATTTTCAAGTTTTAAAAATAAGTAAGAAAAAAACAACAGGAGACCATTAAAATCCCGTCAGAAAGTAATTACATTTAATCAACTAAATCAGTTAATCAATTGTGGCTCTACTTGGTTCTAATGTACAGATAATGCAACAGTGAATTAAGCATAGGAAGGAAGTGCTGCTGGGCCACTGTGTTTTAGGATGCTGCAATTCACTGAGTAAATGGTACGGACTACATATGCCTTGTCTGATCAATTTTAATGTAGCAGATCCATTAACAAGACACTTTATGCAAATAAAAACAGGGTGATTTTACAGAGCGCATTGTGCGTGCATGAATGATTAGAAAAACTCCGCTAAGGCTACTGTCGGTATAAGATTAATTAGCCTAATCCATCTTAATATCCTCTTTCTGTCTGGTTTTCGAGCCACTATAACCTTGCTGGCAGGTGGAAGATACTTAGATGTGGCATTAAAGGCTTTTTCATCTCTAATGGGCGACAGAATAGTCAAAATGCTAATACTAGTTCTGCCACAGCCATCAACTGTGAGGTAGAGAAATTGGTCTGCTGAGGCCTTTCCTTTTAGTTACATAAAAATACAGCTCTATATTTCTGATCTGCAGTATAAATGAACCCTTTGTTACAAAGAGTGAATTTATTTGAAATTAAAAGCAAATTGTAATTTAACGGGTTTGTAAGTGTAGCATTATCTGAACAGGGAAATGTAAACTCCATTTGGTTCCAAGTCTGTAACTGGTACAGACAGACGAGGCATTGAAAGGGAGACAAAAGTTTTAAACTTCAGCTTCACTAGAAACCCGAGGTGACAGATTGACTTGGTTGATAGGATGCAAGGCTGCAGGTTTTGGGTTTGAGCTCCATCTCGGGACAATGGGCTCACAATCCAGGGTAACGCTCAGTGTATTAGTGGGATGAGACGTTGAAATGAGATCCCGTATGCCTATTTATAATACAGTCAATTCACATTACAGTGTATCCTGTGAAGCACTTTGAGGCTTCTCGGAGGCGTGATAAATCGCTTTATCAAATGCAAGGATTATTGTTATTATTATTAGATGGATGTTAAAAATCAAAAGGAGTTTCTTCGATGCCCTGGCCAATAACATTATAAAATCTATTTTCATCAAAAGCTAAACAGTTAACATATAAAATAAGAAAGCATGGTGTGGACATTACAAATTCTTATAATTTGTGCTACCTTTAAACTGACCATTATGTATATATCATGTACAAAATAATAACTCAGCTGTGCTGGGAAAGCCATTGCAACACCTGCTGGGAAAATATTACATTGCACTGCTGTTTATCTACACACCTATTTGCAAAGCACAGTAAATAAATCGTCTTTGTTGTCTTGTTGCTACACAACTTGACATTAATGGTACATCTGTATGCAATTCCAGATCCACAGGAAATATCAAGACAAATTTTGCAGTATTGGTGATACAATGCGGAAAAGAACTTTGGACCTAATTTTCAAATGTTCACTTTTAATACTTCCAAAAATGCTGCAGACATTTTGTATAACACACTCGCACATAAATATAACAACAAAAAAATGCCTTTGTTTCTCTACAGCAAAAATGTTTCATTTACTCCTGATGACCAAGAGCATTTTGTTTGTGGTAGGGAGGGGGTGTTGTAGATCCCTGCAGAATGTCTCAAGATTGATTCAAGAATATCAACACTCCGGCAAAAAATTTGCAAACAGAACTCTTATAGGATATGGATCACCCCAACCCATAGAAGCTCCGAAATGGTGAGAAGACAAACAATGGTAACAAAGTTTGACAAAAAGAAAAGACTGCCAACAAAAATCGATCTGCGGCAATTTTGAAAGTAGAGCCCAATATCTGAGCAGGATAAGTAGCGACACAGGGACTTCATGCGGCTTAGTTGCAAGCAGTTGGGAGGAAGGAGAAGAAAGTGACAGTACAGATCAGCTACCTTTATGTATGCCATGCATGTCCTCTCTCTTTTTTGGAGCTTTTCCATTTATAGACAGCAGAGTTCATTAAAAATAGAAACACAAAATGGTTAGTGAAAGAAGAGTGGCATTGGTTACTATTGCATTAGAGCACAAAGGACCTAGAAGAGACATTCTAATACACAAATAGAGGTAGTTTCTTTGTATGAAGGAAGCACCTTTTTTGAAAAAAAGTAAACGTTTATACATCATTAGCCTTACCTTGTTAAAACTACGACCCGCAGTATCTTTTTCGCTCGGCCGTAGCTCCTGTAGCTGAGCATCCAGGATATCAACCAACTGTTCCATCAGTCTAACTGATGAACTCACATCACCTGCATAAATTGGTCCTCTGGTGTGCTTGGCTAGCTCGTTTGCTAGGTTAGCGGCATTTTCACCACTTCTAATCTGTAATGATAAGTTAGATATTCTCAGTGTGGTTTCAAAAAAAAATATTTTTACAATCAGCAGCTCACGGCTCCCATTAGCACATACCCATGTCTGGTAACTGCTGTGTTGAAATTGATTGCGACGTAGCCATGCATGGACATGTACAGCTAATTGAGGTTGATAATATCCTGCCCACTCTGACAAATCAAACTTATCAGCCTAACTTCTTGGGTGAAAGCAGCTACCAGTTTAGTAGTGAGGGTATGCAGCACAGTTTGAATGCCTTATTTTGTCTAAATGTACTAAATGTAGACCTCAATCTATGTATTTGACAGAATACATAGATTGAGCTCCAGAGAGCTATAGCAAAACTGCCAGAACGAGTCCCATTATCCACAGCAGTGAACAGCATGAGGTCGAGGGAACATACAAGATGATACAAATGGATGACTGCTGATTGCAATGAAGCTTTTTTTAAAATTTATTCTTCACATAAAATGGCTAAAAGGGATACAGCAAATAAATGATGGGCTAAGGCATTCTGCTAGCAAGATCTACACTGAGTGGAACTCGGCTCCTGTAAGACTGTAATATTTAACACGGAATGGATAATGACAGAATAATAGAGGCTGCCACTTGTCAGTATCCTTCTGGGGAGCATTACTACGCTTATCGAAGTAAGCAGCATTTGAGTATTTGTGGTGTTAGTGTTACATCAAAGGCAAAATAAATAAGGTTTAAATTTACAATGACTCAATCCAATTGAGCCACAAATCCACATTCTCTTGTTGCCAATTTTCCTTTTCTTTCCTTCCTCTTCATCTTTGGAATATTCTGAATCTTTTTCAGGGACACGGTTTCATGGCTCTGCCCTCTCTCCCTTGCCCCCCCCTCCCAACATGGGCATTCTTCAGGTGTGAGTCTACATTTTATGTTGCCGTTGTATCTAAGGTTTGGGGGCGAGGGAGAAAGCGCATCACAAGCAAGGCCAATATGTGCTAATCTAAAATCCACACAAATACACTCTCCAGTTAGGTAACAGTCAGCAGGGACTGATTTTCCCTTCCTTGCCCAGGCCCACTGACACCAACTCTTGCTCCCCAAAGGCTGCCCTGCTGAGATCAGCTAACTCAGCAAAGGCAGGGATTACAAATTGGGTGACCTTCTGGTCTGAATGGTCGAGTGCTGCACCAGATGGTGCCTTTCCTCACTTAGCCATTGGGAGAGCTCACACCTGTTTCTTTCATCCTCACAGCTGAATGTAAAAGCTGATGAATTGCAGGTTGTCAATGGTTTTTAGTCTGGTAGCCCAGGTTATGTGGTTCACTTTGCCACATAACTCCCAAGGCTGTACACATCTGGAATATCTGATTATGCTTAAAGCATGCAGGTGTTATTTAGTTGTATTCTCAACTACAGCAACCAATAATACACAAGAAAACTAATGCTGCTTTAATATTGTGCCTCTGGATCAGGGTTTGTGCCACCAAAGTAGAGGTACTGACAATTTGTGTTCCTTTTCAAGGCGCTTGTGGCTTGTGTCGTCAGACACTTTGCACACCTGTAAAGAGTTTGATTGAAAGTTTAAGAACACTGCTCGCCCCCAAAATAATGGTAGCACAAGGACCAAAGATGTACCTGATATCACGCCACTCCTCTACCTACACTGAAGTGCCAATTGGGATAATAAACGTCTAAATCTGTTGTGCACACATACAAGGATGCACAGAACATCACCATGTAATTTCACTCCGCACAAGGCCTGTTCTTCCTGGAGACAGAAGTCACTTGCTTCAGAGGCAAATTCCAAAAAAGGATATGGGATAATGCGGGACTGGGAAATTCATCCGCTTAGTCTTCAGAGTCAGCCTTGCCTCTGCAGGCAAACTCGGAAAATAAAAGCAGCATTAATAGGCTTACAGCTGATACAATGTAAATACTTTTGGAAATAACACATTAGCGAGGATTTCAACAATCGAGTCCTGACGATTTTGTGTTTTAATCACCACTGGATGGGATTTTAAAAGCTTGAAACAAACCTTCTGAGCCACTTGATTTACCCAGTGTGAAGTACAGTTGCTCAGATCTGGGCCCTTAGGGTTCCACATTCCTGTGGAAACCACACAGAGATAAGAGGCAGTCCCTGCAAGAAATAAAGCAGAGCAAATGAGATAAACCTTCAATGTTTATTTTTATGCATTTAAAACGCTAATGGTCTTCAAACAGTGGTTTATCTTAAATATAAGAAAACCAAATTTGCATTATTTAATATATATTACATAACTTGTATTTCCCTCTCCCTAGGTTTAGTCAGTAATAGTATCCGTGAATAAAGGTGCATGCACAAAACTCTGGATTATAATCCTGCAAAGACCATACATTGAAAGACCTGTGTATTTAGATCTTTACTGCTTGCACAAAATTGCCGAAGCCATTGCCACCAACCTGTTCTTATGTGAGTGACTAACATTCAACGTAGTTTCTTTGTAGAACATGTGTGCGCCAGAATTTATTTTGCATATTTGGGGGAAGGAAGGTAGATATAAAAAAACATTCAAAATTATCGAACCAAATTGATATTACAGATCACATACAACAGTGCAGAACTGGACTAGTTTGGTGCAGAAGTTCTTAAGCACATAATATCGGCAAAACTTTTGTGGTGCTGCAGCAGTGAACTGATCCTTTTAAGTTACTTACAGTTGTTAGTTTCTCCAATTATGATCGATTGTCGATGCCCTGAAATGTCATTTATTTTGTGCCACATAATACCCAAACCTTGAGAAACTTGCTTAGTAATGGTTCGATTGTTCCCAAGAAAGAAAACACACAAAGGTTTTATTTAACCCAACCCTGAACTCAGACACCAGACAAAATGGTCAAAGAGGTGAAAAGTGTAGAGAGGAATATTCGCTTTTAACAATTAGTGGTACCTTGGCGATCTAGCTGTAACTTAGACTGGCCTATCCCGAGAGAATGATCCAGAATCTTAATGTAAGTACGGCTCCCCACAGACACAGACATTATTCATGTGCCTCGTGATGGGTCATGGCTTTAAGATAGATTCCATCCCTTGAGCATCAAGATAGATTAGCTTAATGACAAATTGAAACTTCCAGTATCAAGGCTTTCTGCACTCCTAATGTAGATGCTGATATTGTATGGCTCCTTGTCTGACAGAAATTTTTCAAACTAGAAAAGAGAGTAGCTTCACCTTTCAGTGGATTTGGAGTCAGGAGGAGGAGAAAACCCTCATGTCAACTATTTAAAGTTTCTGTCAGTATTCAAGACATTTGTTCTTGCTTCCTTCCTTACGCTCCTCGTGAGAACTCACCTTCAGTCTTTTATTCAGATCCTGCTTGGCCAGACACATTTCGATATCGCAACAAGATAATGAAAAGGTATTTCCCCATTGCATTAGGTAAGCATGGGGCATGGACCCCTGATGAATCTACACTGCAAAGCATTGATCAACTCGATATCCGATATATTTAACGAGGCAAATAAAATCTAGAACAGGGCGGCATGAACTCAAGCTCAGTGGAGGAAAGAAGAACAGGCAGTTCAGATTTAATTATTTTACAGAGTGGTGACTATGCGGAAATATTGTCCAGGGAAGTGGTTGGAAGCAGATTTTGTCAGCAAATTCAAGAAGGAATTACATAGCTACGTGACAGATAATTGAATTGAGAGGGTATGTGGATTGTAGGGTTTCTTTTCTAAATTTTGGGATTAGCCAGATGGATCCTAATGGATATTTCCACTTCTGCACATTCTTATATTGTTATCTATAACAAATGAAATCAACATGGTTATACCCATTCTATTCTTTTAGAATCTTTTGCTTTTTCTATTCAAAGAAGCTAGAACTATTTTCTACTTGGCCTTAACGTTTGAGCATTTCTGTTAACGCATTCTTCAGTGACTCATTGGGTAAGAGCCCCACTTAATAAGCTATAAAGCTTGAATGGCTGTGAAGGGTTTGTTTATCAGACATTCTGTTATGATGCATTAAAGATGATTATGGACCATAGAAAGGTTTACTTCACTTGTATCCCATGAAAGTAGTCGTCGTAAGGCCATTATGACTGTCCCTGTTCTCCCCTTAGAATTAACCCCTGCTCTTGCCACACACATTAAATGTTTCCTGCAGCCTAGATTGAGTTAATGTCTTCTTCCAACCAGACCTCTACGGTCCTGCATTATCAGTGCTTGACTTAGTTCCAATTGTATATCGTTTCTCAGGGGACTCCTCAATTAGGACTTTAATGAGAGACTGCTAACCTTATCTTCTCAACTGGAAAGGTTCCAGCATGTTCCTAGCGCAGAATATTTAGAGGGTGTATTAATTGGGGTCAGGTCTCAGTCTGCCAATTCCAATGCAGACACATCTTCCTCCAAGATTCTAGTCGATTTTTCTCTGGGTTTTTGGACATCCCAAGTCATGTGCTGTGACCAACACCTAAGTCATTCTGCTTGGCTTCTACAGGGCATGTTAGATGTATGTATGAGAACATATGAGATTTGGACAAACTCCATCATCTTCATCTAGCAACTTCACTGGGACTCTAGGGGTTTTAGTTAAATCCATCCATTCTATATTTTGCAATAGATACAATCCACAATTCTGATAGATGCAGTCAGCTAGATGAATCCCACTGGATGGAGAACCGGGTGAAGGGCAACCAGAAAACATGGTAGAACTTTGAACAAAAGCGCATCTTGGAATGTTCAATACTTTGGGATGTTACATAAGGCTTGATAGGAGTTTCTCTCTTTCTCTCTTTTATGTTGTGAATATAACTTTAATTATAAGTATAATTTAAAAAAACACAAATACAAAAGAGAGACTGTTGCACATAACTAAACAGCCATCAGTAAAACATTATGAAGGTTATAATTTGGCAGACTGTTGTCAAAAGTTATTTTTTAAAAAAGAAAGTTTAATTATTTGTTGATCTCTATGACTGCAATAACCTATCAATTTTAAACATACTTTGAAGATAATCTGTTTAACTCTAGCCAATTTCAGTGTTCCTTTTAATTTTAATTACTGCATGCCATCCAAAGCACCCCCTTGAAGTCTTTTGGTGAAAATAAATGATTGCCACCTGTTCCCTCTGCTTCCTAGTGTTTGGTGAATTATTAAAGCTGTATTTCAGTAGAAGGCACCATGATCACCAACGTGGAGAAATCAGCTTATTAAATGTAAAGCACAGTCATCCTGTTGATAGGTTTCCTATGCCAGCCATTATACATCTGAAGACAAATGCTGTAAATCAGGAATCGATCGTCTGGATGCAGAAGAGACTCCGCCAGTAGTTATATAATAATAATAATAATAATCCTTGCATTTGAAACAGCGCTTTTCACGTCTTCTAGATGTCTCAAAGCGGTTCACAGAATATTCTGTAAAGTGAATTAACTGTATCTTTGTGGGCGAAATGTGAGAATGCCTGGCAAACATTCATACAGACACAGTATTGGTAAGTACACATTCTTTGTGTTTAAAACCAGATCGGCGACCTTGTGTATAATAAATCAGTGAATCCATGCATCTCTTTTGATAATACAGTATTCCCAGTTATTACTGGGTAAAAGTAATGCCTGGCTCCTCCCTTTGTTGGGACATGTTTCCTGCTTCTCCCACTGAGAAGGACTGTAATCAGGCCAACGGCACTAGCACATTATCATGGTCATCTGGAAACTGCAGCATTGCATCTGGAAGCTTGCACTTGCTATTCACCACCATTCCTGTTTTGAGCAGGGTCTTTATGATACATTCACATTTCCTGACTCCCGGTTTACCTCCTCAGTTTAAAATTCGTTTGTACAGCACCATCGAATTCTAACTTGAAATTCCTAAACCTGCAATCTTAGCTTTAAATCTTCGACATTGTCTTGTAAATAACTTGAAGCTTTACTCCGCTCTGACATTCTTCAGCTTTAAAACTAAAATTGCACACAAGAAAATCCTAATATACCACTGCCCCATTAACTCTCTGTTATTGATATTCTGAAAGAAGCTTATTTTCCATCACCCGAGCAACTGTGGAGAATTATCCTACTTTGAAAAGTATTCTGCAATAATGCCAGCAACAGAGCTCATCTTTGCTATCTGATTGAGACTATATTTCACTTATGTGGAGGGCAGTTCCCTTTTTTTAAATCTTAAGATACGTATCAAGGAATGAAGTTGCCGGCAGTTGCTGATTTACCTGGGTCAAGAATTAAGAGAATCTTGCAGAATAGTGTTGAGTTGGCAGTCTGCTGCAAAACCGCAATGGTCAAAAACTTTAAGGTAACTGGGTCTGAACTCTAGGATTTCAGAAAATAAGTGCGTGATGCTTTAAAAGGGTTCAGTTGCTGTCACTGAGATTCTGGAATGTCTCAATTCTTGAAGCAGCTTGTTCTGAATAGGCGTTTCAAACAGTGTGAGATGAGCCATCAGGGAAGGTTCATTAGATAGCGCAACAAACATAAATTCTGCACAGTCTGAATTTGTTGCCAGACTATTTCTAATTTTATCTTGATTTATTAGCAGTGTTCAAAATAGGAATAGTGTCAGATGTGATAAGCAGTGTATTGTTTTGCCGTCCTCTGCAAATGACAGCAGTAAAGGAATTCCAAGACACATCAGTCCAGTTTTCCAAATTTTAGTACAGATCTCCAAAGTGGAAAATTGGCAGATCTTAAAAGTCTCTTTAAGCATGTTAAGGCCACGCTTCATATCATAACAAAGGTTTAACATAGAAATAAGCAATTACTGTCAGTGAACTAAAAATACCAACTTAGTGATCATTCAGGGACAGATCCAATTAATGTAAACATGGTAGGAATATTGTCTTGTTTTAAAAAATTGCAACACTTATAACTGTTGGACAAGAATTCAATAACACTGCCCACTTTAGGGAATGGAACACAGTGTAAAAGTATGATCACATACTCCAGTCGCAATACTCAATGTACTGTCCAACAAGCAAGAAGAATAGGACAAGGCAAGAGGTTAACATACAGAAATCGTAACAAAGTAAAGACCGTTGAAGCCTCCAGTAAATTACCTGACCTCTGCAGAGAAGGCATGTATAAGGAGGTTTGGGCTCAAAAGGAGCCAAAGCTTTTGAAATGATGGCCACAGATTCAGAGAGACCCTCATTGATCCTAACTGCTCTACCTCTGACTATTAAAAGTGACAGCAGTCATTAGTTTTTGGGGGGCAATGGGGTCTTTCCAAGCACCATGAAAGAGATTAGAGCATGTGACCACCCATACTAAAGTGGTGACTAATGCACTCTTCCAGAAGCCTGTCAGGTTCATTAGTCTTGCAGTGTAGTGAAACAATGAATCATACAGCAACAAAGATATGTCATTGTTGACATTCCCCGAGTGCTGGATATGGTCACCTGCACCAATGTACAATATGAAGGCCAGTCAATTTAATACCATCCATCAACTGTGAGGATTTCTATTTCCTTAACAGGGAGGTGAGCTGAAGAGTCCAGAAAAGTATCCTCTTGGTGACTGCCAATTACTTGAGGGTCAACAACACAAGACACTTCCTTCATCCTTAGTTTCATGTTGATTGGAATGTGACAAATGACTTGACTGTAGCTTCGAGAAGTCTACAATAATAGCATAATGCCTCGGCTCTCATCAGAGCAAGACCCTGTGGTACCACCATCAAACAAAAGCTGACCAAAAGAACAAAACACAGCTGGAAGCTGTAGTTGAAACAGAAAGCATCAACGTGTTTAAGAGGAAACTTCACGCACACATGTGGGAAAAGTGAATTGAGAGGTATGCGAGAGGGAATTAGGAGAGGAAGCTCATATCGAGTAATATGTGCTGCATGATGGTGAAAAGGACGAGTGAAAAATAGATCTTATGCCCTCGCAGTGTATTTTGTGGGACTTCTATAAATTTCACCAGAGATTGATGAACTAGGATTAGCAAGAGATGATACATGACCATGTTGTTGCAGCCAATGCTCAGAAAAAAACTGGGACCTGTTTCTTTAGTCCTCTATCCCAGACTAATGAACCTGACAGGCTTCTGGAAGAGTGCGTCAGTCATCACTTTAGTACTGCTGGTCATCCACTCTAATCTCTTCCTGGTTTAGGCTTGGACCCCATTTTCAATCAACTCTGCTTGCAGCACCACTGCACAGAGGGCCATGGGACTCTTGTACTTAGCTGTAATTATTAACAATATCCATTGAACAGAACTCTAAACAAACTGATAGCAAGATGTTCATATGCAGTGTCAATGCCGTTGCTATCGCCCTCAAAATTCCCCAAATTGCCCAATGTGTCTTTATGCCCAAATGTTGGTACCAATTCACCTTCAAAATTATCCTTATGTTGAATTTACATTAATCTGCACAATCAAATAAAATTGTTGTGTAATAGTTGGAAACCAACAAATTTGCTATCCAACACTGTTACACACTGATTAATTATAAGAAATATAATTGTATCTCTTACCTCGGGTTCCCTTAGGACACGGGCGTTCAACCAGGATGCCTCTCTGTGACTCTGGCCAACCTATTTCTCTGGCTTTGGTGGCCTCACAAAATCTCTCTGGGATAGGGAAGAAGCTGGAGTCTGGAGGAGTTTTAGTCCCAGTTTCAGCGGAGCCTGCTTTAGGCCTACGACTGCCTTCCTTTCCACCTCCAGCTATGCTTGTGGTCATCAGACCTTTCTCTGAAGTGGTTGAGGTTGTGGTTATCACTGTGGTTTTTGCAATTGCTGCATTTGAAGTGGTTGTTTCAACAGTGGTCGGCACTGAAAGAAAAAACACATAAATGAAATGTATTTCTTTTGCCAATTTCTGCCCATATATCTATCTATAGGAAATGAATCATGGCATGCTAAATACATCATAATTGGATAAAAGATTTTTCAGGGTCACAAGATATGATTTACTTGTATTGATTTGCGACTCAAACGGCATTAAATAATTAAGAAAGTAAAGTAATCTAGCTAGCGTTGTATGAAGTAGAACATTCAAGAAATTCGTTTTACATCATGTTTCAGTAACTTAATTCAGCACCTTACAGGAAAATAATTAATGTAACATCTGCCCACCCTGCAGCCATTTGTGTTTGAGGGCTTGTGAGCATGCCTGATTACACTTCAAAAAGCCTGAGTGGGAATAGATTCCTTCATTGTAAGAATATACTTCACTTTTCAAAAACTAGGAATAAAAAGCAACTAAATTCTAATAATAAGAATAGTAATACTGATACTCATCCTTGCATTTAAATTAGCACCTTTCATGTTGGGACTATGTCTCAGAATACTTCGCAGAATTTACTGTAAAGGTTAGTGACTGAATTTTGTAGGTGAATGCAGCAACAAATGTGTGGTCAGGAATGTGCCACAACAGCCATGAAGTGAAAGGCCAATTTTATCCTGGGGTTTGTTGGCCAGGACCCTGGGAAAAAACTCACTGAAGTAATATCACAACCTGAGGGCAACTTGGCTCAGTCAAACACTACTTGGAATGCTGATTTTCAGTGTTGAATTGCTACCTCTTTTCACGTTCTTCAATGTTGTAAGCCTCATTGCTCCTTCCCTGAAGGTGCTTACTTATGCACCTCCACGGGCACCAGTAGCCCACCAGTGCCTTCTCCAAGTAATCATTCTTTCTGTTTGGCCCTGCACAGTAAGTGTGAATAGGTGATTCAACTGTGTCGAAACCTTCATCTCCCCTTACCAGGTGGGATCCCAGGGTAGGGAAAGCAAACTCGTGATTTATCGCTTCCTTGAGGATGTCGAGATCAAATTTTGCAGCCCTCCATTGGCTCAGTTCAGATTTGACTAAGTCAACAAAGAACAGTGTTTAAGCTTGTGACTATTGAGGACTATATTGCACTGTGAAGTAGGTTTATCTATTTGTGAGTCTTTTAGTGCACATCTTATTGGCATTTGATCTTATTTGAGGCTCCACTGCTTTTACATTGCCTTTATACATCTGGAAGACATATCCAACAAAGTCTTGCATTGACCCCACATCTTTGCATACACTCAAAATACGTTAGGATGTATTTGCTTCACTAATAATAAATTTCTAATGACTTTGCACATAGACTAGATCTTCAGGTCATGGTGCTACTGGTGTGATAATATCAAGACCCGTGCACATACATGGAACCTCATTGGGTCTGATGACTACAGCCTTTTTCATTACAGAGTCAATTCTCCTCCAGGAGACGATGGGAGACTCAACTATCAAGAAGTTCACCCAAACATGGGACCGGGGAAACCAGGCGTTTTGTATTGCCTGCAGAGGCAGACTTGCTTCTAGATGTAAACTCGAAATTTGAAGGCACCATAAGAAATGGATTAAAAAAATTAATAAATGTTTTCCCATGAGAATGTGCTGTAGTGGAGGTGAAACACTTACAGCTTTCTTCATGTGGATTTGAAAGAAGTAAATGTGTGGTTCTGTGCACCGAGCTTTGTTCCAATTTGCTTCTCCCCTGAAGGAATGGACTCATGCTGAGCTTATGCTCCAAAGGCATCAGCAAACTTCCACTGTTTTGCCCAAGTGGCCAATATTCGTGTGTGAACCTTCCTCGCTAGCAATTTGCCAGCATCGTGTTTGATTCTGGGGAGTTGAGCTGATTTTGTCTTCACCAGACTTTGACACACATTCACTTTCCAGCAGGGGTCACTAGATAGATAGCAATAAAGAGAGGAAGCACCTTCACTTATTTTTCCCCTCCCGAGCCCTACTGAAGCAAATTATACAGCTCCATACCTCCCCACCATTCTCACACTTTCCCCCTGACTGACTGAAACTAGCAAACTCATCACAGATTTGGACAGGGATCAAACATGGTTTTATGCCAGACTTAAAATATAATACTCCTTTTCTTTACTTCCCTTCACCCAATTGTCAGATACAAATGTTCTGCACTATGCTTGAAAGTAATGACTTTCTTCAGCGTTGATGCCTGACAATTCAATATTTGTTCCTTTACACAGTTAGTTTGGAGACCAAATAGTGCTGATCAGGCTAATTTCCTTCAATATTATCTACTGATGTGCAGTGCTGTCTAAAGTTACTGGAGTAATAAGTCACAGGACCCATACTTTGTCCTGTAGCAATAATGATGACAGTATTATAACTTCTGAACCAGAACTTGAACTATCAGAATTTGTCAGTTTTAGAGGCTGGGCATTAAACTGCTACTGATGTTGCCGTTATCATTGCATGGATGATATTCTCATCTTGCCACTACCACACATCTCAAACACCAAAGTCCTGAACCCATGTCTTGTTTTGAATGGCTGCTTCCATTGATTGCTTGAGAGTTGCATGTCTAAGGCAGTTGACACTTCATGCCTGACTGACTGCTGCAGAAAGCCATTGGAAGCTGTCTGCATCCCTCTCTGAGAGTGCTTGTTTGACATCTCCTGAAATCCCTGTAATTTTCTTTTGATTAAAACACAACCAATCTTTTCGGCTGGAAAACCAGAGTGCTCGCTCAATTAAGATTTGTCAAAGTCATCAAACTCTATTGCAGAGGTGTCAGGTAATTGCTGGTAAATCAGTTCTGCTAGAGAAAGGATGGACTTATTAGGCCTATCATTCGATATTATGAATTTTGAATTTCATACCACACTTAAATAATTAGTAGTTTTTTAACATAATAAACTTACGTTGATAGTAGTGCACTTGGTTGTCAACTAAAGAGACCCATGCAAAAGCAAAGTATCTTTTGAATGCTTTACGCTTTCTTAAGATGGCAAGCAGCTTGAAAGGATGATCAAAAGTGACAAAGAAGGTCAATACTGGTTGCAATAAAGAAGCGCTCGCCTCCAAGTGAAAAGACGTTTGTAACAATTTAGTGAAACTACTGAGATAAATCAATGGGGAAAATGAAAAATATAATCGACTTTGTTTATCCATTTCATGTCATAAAACAAAGCAAGCTTGTATTTTTAATACCTTGAAGGTTGCTATTTGGAAAACCAGGGTTCATTTAGATGCCTATTCTTGTAATGCCAATTATTATTATGCAGTCTCCCAAGGGATAATCATCTCTGATGTCTGATTTTAAGCTATCTGATTAGTAATCTACTACATTTAGTAAACAACAAATCTCTTCTCCCAGGAGACAACCAGACCAAGAGTTCCTCTAACAGCAGAGAGCAAATCCATGAAGCAAGTTGAATTTCACTGACATTTTTATATACAGCAATTAATCAAACTGCAAATAAAAGCTACCTTGTAGATATTTGTAATCAGCTGGGTCCTTTACCATTAAGCTTAGCAGAATAATTTGGTTTACACTGTCACATTTTCACGAGAGATGTTTGGAAGACAAAAAGAGGCCCTTTGGACTGTGTGAAAATAATCACTGAAGTTGCGTGTAGAGGTTCATTTCCACATATTGGTATATTAAACTATGATCATTTCCATCATCTATAGGAGGAATTAGTGATAAGTCTACATTAAAGTTTGAACTAATTTAGCCTAGTTCAAGCCAGTCATATTTAGAAAATTCCAACTTTTGAGTTAAAATGAGAAAGTGATCTGAGGTAACCTGAATCAGTGAATAATTACTACGAGTATAAACTGTTCTAAACAATATTGCACTTTGAAGTTTAACATTTATAGAAATAGTAAAGCATTGAATATTGCTAATCAATGTCTCCTATGTCTGGATGATTCTTTCCTTGTTTTTGTTTATCTATTTGTTTAACTTTGGCTTGAATCCCAGGACTCTCCACATCTTCTGATTTCACTCCTTCACAGAATGAAGGCAAAGGTTCATTGTTTGATAGATAATCCTTCCCTCACTCCTGGCCTCTCTCCTCAGCTGCACTGTCACAACCTTTCTTATCTCTCAAATTATTTTATACAGCTAAAAGTTGCTGTCCTCCTGAACTTTCCTCTCTTGTTCTTCCCAAGATTCCAATAAGTCATCTGCTCATTCTGCTCTCTGTGATGAATCAAAGTCAATCACCTACTCCTTCACATGACCAGCACTGTGGGCCTCACACCCCTCAATTTTACCTCCCTCGTAAATCTACACATACAGCCTTTTAAAGTTCAAGATTGGCATTACCCAGCCATGTCTTGATTTACCTTGTTTTGCCTCTTCCTCATCTACCTCCTCTGCTCGTGCCATTGCTTCTGGGTTCTTAATTAAGATTCTACCCATTTATCCATTTCAAGCCCAAATCTTTCTTAGCTCAGTCTCTGTGTCTTCCATTTTTCTCTCCATTTTGAACTTGATGGGAGAAAATTGTCAAGGGAATTTTAAAGAAAACACTACTATGAAGGAGATATAACTGTTTTAGACACGGACAGCACCACACTTCAAAGCTGCTGAAGCACATTTGGTTTTCAAAATGTAACTCATTTACAGTAATTTAAGACCAAAATAATATTACTGTTTTTTCCATGTTTGTATTCTGTGAAAATGCAAAGCGTTTGCATATCTACAGTGACAATAATCATGTAAAGCTCATGAGCTCTAATTTTTTCGCCTTTATGTTATCGGATCCTGTCTATAAAAAGGGAATTCTCTGTGAAGAAATATCACTTAAAAAAGAATGTGTTACAGATATAAGGTGACTCTTACCTTGGCCAGGGTCAGGGGGACCAAACTCCAGTGAATACCTCAGAATGAAATTATTATTCCACACGTAGAGCTGGTTGTCTCTTGGGTTGTAATCCACAGCAGCTATGTGCTGGTATTGGTTTGGAAACTGAATATCCACAAACTCCTCTTTGTTTAGGTTGGTGTTGTATACATAATCTATCGAGTTCTTCCCCGTTTCGCTCTCGTTATCTTCATAAACTGATCGCACTACGTATAAAACGCCACATATCATGAACGCATTTGATGCTGTTCGCTTGTCGTACGACGTGTCCCAGGTGCCTTCAAAGCGGAGAGTGTAAGGGTTCAGTTGGCTGATGACCATCATTCCGTTGTTCTGCTCTGTGGCATAAATGACCCACAAGCCATTTTCATCCACTGCTAAATCTATGTCTGACTTGCCCCCCCAACGGTAGGGTGAGGTGTCGTGATAGTTGGCATTGGCAATGATTGCTTCCCCACTTTTGATCCTAGTTCTCAAGTCATATTTCACAATATTCCTCGTCCTTTCTTTGTTGAAAAACACAGCGCCATCGTACACCACAAAGCCAGTGCCATCAACCCGGTGGGGCAGTTTGTAGGTCGTTGTGGGCCGTCCAGAAGTGAAATCTTGCACTGAAGCATATTCCATCAAAGTGTCCGTGCGATAAGGTGTCCATGGCATGTAGTAGATTTTGTCCCCAGCCTGAAGTGGGTCTTTACACCAGGCACCAGACTGCTGCTCAGCCTCAGTTACGTAGGCCGAATCCACAACTGCTTTCAGAGTTCCAGGACAAACAAAAACTAAAAATCACAGTGGAGACGCAGGAGGAAAGGAAGAGAACAAAAAAAGAAGAGCGTTACATTTTTGAAAACACCCCAGGTTGAAAAAAAAGGTTTCCCTTTAAGATTTCACAACTACAATATTCTGAAACACTGAAAATTTACATTTTACCCACACAACAAAAGTAAGTGTAACCATTAAATACTTGTGAGAATGCCTGTTATAAATGTTTCAAAAGTTTGGGGAGTGAAACTGGAGTGCGGGGGGAATAAGAAAGAGGTTCGTCATCAGGTTTTACAATAGAAAGCTAGAGGTGGAAAGGCAGTGGAGAGCAAAAAGACAACAGAAGCAGTGCGTGAGGTAGCCCAGGAAACCCTGTTAACCATGGCATGCTATGGAGAGGGTTCTGGAAGCCAGGCAGATGATATCTACTGACACAAGAAAGCACCTATGGGTGTGAAAGAGATATCCTCGAGGACACCAGCAACTACACCCACCACCTTCTTAATGCAGCTATGTCCTCGGATCAGATAGAATACAAACTTATTGACCTTTACATCAATGTTCTGTTCTGATGAGATTCCTCAAAACACCAGAGTAGGGGAAGGGAGGTTAACAACCATATGGCACAAAACAAGGATCTGGGTTTGGGACTGTATATGTTATTTACCTTTTTGTTCCACTTCTATTTTAAGCATTGGAAGAGAGAATGAAAAAGTGCAAGAAAAAAAGAAAATAGATTAACATGATTTATCTATCACTGTAAGGACCGCCATACTTCAATATGTAGGCTCAATACGAGATATGTGGGGGTTAAATAAGTATTGTACCTTTTTGATACCAGTAATACACCACCTGTATTCCAATACTAGAGTAGGCACAGCGAGAATCAATCACCATTTTAGTTACACATACGACTAAAATGGATTATTGCATTAACAGTATAATACAAAACCCCTCAACAGGTCTTTACTCTAAGAGCAACTAATTTCTGCAGTGCCACTTTCTGTCTCCAAGCAACACCACAATCATCCACATTAACAAGGCACATTTCATGCTGATGCAAGAGGCTAGTCATGCCCACATTGCAGCATTTTAACTGAAAGCATACAGCATAGAAACATTCTCATTGTCATATGCCGACATTAGTTTGTTAACAAGCTCTTTAAAATATTATAAACTGCACCTAAATGCAATAAATGTCACCATTAAAGCTCCACACAGTTAAGAAAATGAATTAGGTTAACTTTATCAGGTTTCCACTGATTATTTGGAAAGATTAGAAGTTATTAGATTCATTGTGGGAGCATATACAATTTCTCTTACCAGCAGAGACAAAACAGGAACAAAAAAGTTAATGCAAGTTCACAGTATAAAGCAGCCTACCTTTATTAGATGCACTGGACAGATTTAATGGTTTAGATCATTATCTTGTATTTGTGATTTGCACAACAGTTTTGTTTGAAGCTTATTAATGCATTTTAAGAGAAAGGCAAATATTAATATCAGTGACTAGGGTCAGTATCTGCCAATAAACAAATCCATTTTTTTTGATTAACCAAAATGTCAGGCATTTAAAGGAAAGAGTTGACTGGCAAGTTTAAAGCATTAAAGTATAATTTGTGTTCAAAACAGAAATTCATAGATTAAACCAGGACTTTGTATTACAGTAACAAGTGTTCTGATATCCAATGGATATGGAAGGCACTGATGACATTTGATTGACAATGTGAGCAATCCCTGTTCAATAATGACAACCGTATGCGGCGGGTTTGGGGTCACTTAGTAAAACTTAGTTAAAGGGTTGGTTCTCAGGCAAGCTTTACTGGCAGGCCACTGGCCTGTCAGAGGTGAGGACACCTGACGAGCAGCCTGGGAGACTGGAAGTGGGCAGGAGTTAGAAGAAGATCAAGAGGAATCTCTTGAGAACTGACCATCAACCTCTTCATGGTTTTTCTCCCCCATCTTAAAGAGGCAAGCTGTGGATAGATTTGGAGGCATTTAAGCCATAGCCACCTGCTGCCTATGCTGACAACACAAATTGAGAACATCAGAACTTTTGGCACAAGCAAACAAATGCAGAAAGGTAAAATCCCCTAAACAAATTAACACAATTCTTATAACAGTGAGAATGTTGGATTGTGCACATAAGTATTTTGCAACGAAATTCTGCCTCAACGGCAATTAAATGATCAACTGCCTGAGTAAACTAGGCAACACTTCCAAATTTTCCAGACTCTTGTAACTGATTATGCAAACCAGCTTCCTAATCTGAAAATCACAAACAGAAGTTACTTTTCATTGCAAATGTGACACTGAGCTTGGCTTTGCCAATATTTCACTCAGTCTTTTCATGGAGAAAAATGAGGTGTACGGAATAGGAAATTCTCAGGGTTTGTTTCCCGATCTGTCTTCAGTTCAGCTGTCATGGCTCTAGCACCACAATTGCCTTCAGTGCTCTGGTGGAGAAAGTCAGCCAGCCAAGTCAGCCAATGCTTTATAGTAACCATTGCTAGATGTGCATTTATATGGTGGAGGCCAACATCAGACGATGCCAATATTCACTACGCTCACACATGAATAAAGGCCACTTGGGCAAGGAATTTGAGGTGACAGTTACCTGAGGAAACAGACCTCCAGCAGAAGCAAAAAACAAAGAGTAGGAGTGAAAGACGAAATATGTTTAGACATGGTTAAGTGACGCCAGACGTGGATTTCAAAAACATGTAAACTGTAGGAGAGAGGGAAGGCAGAAGGGAATAAGTTAAGAGGATAAAATAGTATGAGTTGAGCCTCGGTTTCAAAATAGTGACAAGAAGGAAGACGCACAATGCTGTAGGAGATCCCAGAAACGATGGCAATAGCAGTATTGATAAAACACACAAAGACCTGAAAGACTATGATGGAAAGCAGTTTATAGACTGGACTGTCCACAACAGAGTCCAAACTGCTGGAAATTACACATCTATCTGAATACACCCCATTATCCTCTCTAACTGAGGCAATACTCCTGAGCCAAATTACCTCAGGTGGCACCTCAGATGACAGAATGGGCATACATGGAAAGGGGGAGTCAGTGCAAGTTGTCTATGGATCGCCTCTGGGTATGAATTGCTCCGTCCTCAAAACTTGAGAGATATAGGAGCCCCTTTACATATTTTTTGTATACTCTACCACACTACGGATTCTACCCTATTTATTTCATCACCTTAAGAAAGTTACACAACATTGCTTTTGATTGCGATAATCAAACAAAATGTCTATCCATCCTATTTGTAAGTTATTCAAACTGTGGGTTTTTGTTCTACAATACAACTTCAATGATCTCAGCAGCATTGTGTTCTATGGAGATTTAACCATCTCTTTCTTTACTTATCTCTGTCACTTTCAATCTCATTCATAAATAGATATTTATTGAGGTTTTTGGAGGAATTGATGACGATTGCATTATCTACAGGAAATATCAGCAAATACCCCATGAATCTAGGTGCCAAGTGCCAGAATAGGGTGAAACGACTGTATAAAATAATCCTAAACTGGATATAAATGGAAGTGTGCATCAAGAATTGGAGTGTAGGGAGATAAAGGCAACATTTTTTTCTGATCCCCACCCACCTGTAAAAGCCAAAATAAAGTGAAGAGAGTTATTCTAAAAGGTAAGAGAGATAAGTGCAGAGAGAGAGAGTGACATCTCACCCAAGTGAAACACCAACTCTACCTCAATTCTACCTCCGTTGTCTGGAGGCAACATTTAGACTATCAGAGAGGCAATGTTATGGTGGCAGAGCAATGATTTCTGATTCCTAATTCCCAACCAGCGAACACCATTACTCTCATACATGTGAATCAGGAAAATAAGACAGGTTACCAATATTTATTTTAATAACTTGAAATAATTTCTTGCCAGTGACTTGGAAGGTTTCTTTTTCATTTGTGGCTAGAATTGCTTATTATTACTTTCACTTTATTTTTGACTGATGGAGAGCAGAGACTTTTGTTTTTTACGATTTCATCTCAATGAGTAAATTAACTTTAGGTCATTTGATACAAAAGTGGGACCTGCTGAGGCTTCACTGAATCTCATGTAGCTTTGATGCTGGGCATTCTTAAAAGCATTAGCCTTTGTTAACAATTTCCATGTCAGTTCATTTTTATAACAGGCTTAATTCCCCCTTTTTCATCTCTTGTTCCCAACCCTCACATTTAAGATACACTTAAAATTAGGTTTTCTATAACCATAAGATTGCCATAAGCAGTTGCAAGAAAAAACTAACAATGCAAATGCAATTAATTAATTCATAAGAATTGAGTTTTGGCTGTATCATTCATGCTTTCATTCTCAGTGGAAAAGCTTAATGTCAAACACTCGATAACTCTGTTTGGAAGCTCAGTCAGTCCAGTTACTAAGATGGCTGTGCAGGATTATTGTTGTTTAAAACACATATCTGCTTTCATTGAACGCTAACTATTGTTTTGGTAAGACAATAAGAATTATTTGAACTCAGATCAAACATGGTTTCAGAGCTTTGTTCCAGTAGAAATACCTCAGTTCTTAGGATGAGAATATCCTAGGTCACTCCCAGTCAGCTGCGTGAAGCGCTTTGAAACATCCTCCTGATGCAAAAGCACTATGTAAATGTTATTATTGTTGTACATCAGTTTTCACCTCTAATGACATGTTAGCACATGTATATGTACTTTAAGGTAACACGCTCAATTCCTTTGAGTTTTTCTCCATTTAGTATAACAAGGAGGAAGAAACAAGCAGTACCAGCGCCCAGTATTTTTGTCAAACTGGCCAACAATCTTATCTTCTTATATATAGTACATAGGTAGTTTGGGACATATGTGCATGCAACTTCCAGGAAGGTGGAAGGCGAACTAGGAGGACCTTGGCCTTTTTTTTAGTCTAGTATTTCTTATGTTCTTATGTAACATTATGCAAACGTTTATCACCTGGGGATAATAGTATCTACTGGGTAAAATGATTTTCCTCTTGATGTTCAAGTTGCTGCTTGACCTGGTATTGCTTGGTTAGTTATGGCAATTAGGAGCAAAATGATCAATAAGTTAGTTTAGCCCAGCCCTAGTCAACCTAACCCTAACCTTTATGTTAGCTCACCAAAGGTGGCGTCCTTCATGTGTGAGCCCAGACAGTGAGTATCAGGTAAGCTATTCACCCATGTAAGGCATTCACAGTCAAGCCTGAACTTGTCCTCACCCACACAAACACACACACATGCGGGTCACGCACACACATACACAACACACGCATGGGAGTTCAAACTGATTTTTCCCCTCCCTAACCCAGATATGTTGAGACCAATTATAGTGCCCCAACTGCGAGATGTTGCTAGCTAACTCAGCTTCATTATGAGTTAAACTTAAGACAGTCAGATCTGTATGACTTAGCACTACATAATCACTTCCTGGGTTTTGTGCCCATGCTTGCTATGTGCAAGAATCGCTATTAACATCACTTTGTGAAGGCCACGATGCTGGAAACATTTCTTAAGCTCACCAAAAATTAAATGAGTGGCAACCTGGAAGTTGAGCATTTTCTCAGGTCTCACTTATAAAGAGTGACTGAGCACTGGACCCAGCTAACACCTTCATAATGAGGTTTCCTGGTATTATGTTTAAGTATAGCACAATAGTAATGGGTTGACTTATGTAAGAGAACAAAGAAAGGCATGGGTTAAATGGTTTGCATTAAATTCCCGTCTGACCTACAAATTTCACCCTGAAGTTAATACTGAGGAGCATGAAACAGTGGAGATTGTACCGTAACTGGATAGAGGTCAGGAGCAATCCTGAAAGGGAAGAGATATTAATACCTTTTGACAGTTCAATTCACTATTATAATTAAATATCAATGCTTTCAATATATTTTTATTTCTTAAGTTAGTGTGAAATAACGTTCAATATCATTGACCAATTTAAATGTCAAACTTCACCTAAAAAGATTTACATTGAAGAAGTTCAGAAATTATTTGAAGCACATTTTAGAAAATAAATATAATTGTTAACAGAAGCAGGACTCCGGCATACCGCAATTGCACTTCTGGCTGCCTAAAAGGTTAAAAAGAATGATTGGATCAGTCACCAGTATCACACACAGGAGGTAGAATACTGAGAAGCAGTATGCACAGTGGGCTACCATCCTGCAGATGGTACAAAGGAAAAAAAACAGAAAAGGCATCCTTCTTAGAAAGCTCACAGAGGAACGCACAGCAAGAACGAAGAGAAGGGATAAGATCTTTGTTTGGCTTTTAATGGATTTTCCCTACAGATATGCTGTCAATATTCCAACGAACAGGTCTGTGTTTTGGCTGGGTAGAGCTGCTGCCCTTTAAAGGTAGGCCAAGCCAATTTATACAACACCTGGTGCTGAATGGCAGAAAAAGCTTCAGTCTGTAACCTGAATGTCAAATTCAGTTTGGTTTCCTTTAAAGCTCAATACCTTAAAAGCTAACCTTCTAACAAATAGGAAAAATGTTCAGCCCGCACCAGAGTATAAAGTCTACCCATACTTTCTGAAGTAATTCTAAGTCTTGCTCAAAAAGTGCTTCACAGGCTGTTTACACGCTGTTGTAAATCTACACATTTTACATGCACAAGGTCCCTGAAATTAAAGAGTTTCCATCTTTGGGAAAGTATTAGGCAAACTCGAGACATCTTTGATGGAAAAACCAAAGGAAGCATGTGTTATTTTTGATAGTGTTGGATTGCAGGCAATCAAAGTAAAGATACCTTGGTGCGATTTGTTTCAGTTTAGTTCAGTGGGCAACACTTCGATTCAGGTGGTTATGGATATCAGCTGCATGCTAGGACTTGAACTCACACACCAGTGGAGCATTGAGGGAGCGCTGCTTATTGGATTTGCCATCCTTTGGATGTTACAGAAGTACCTTCTACCTATTTTCCTAGCTTGGGAAGACTTAAATACCTGTGGCACCTTTTTAAAGAGCAAGGAAATTAATATTCTCCCTCATACAAATACAGCAAAAAAAATTATGCATCTCGTTGTTTGTAAAAAAAATTTGATGCAGATTATCTGGCACCTTTGCTTATGTAACAGTCATTGCACATTAAATTAACTCATTGTGTTTGAGAAGTTTTGAAGTGCAATATAATTTTTATTCTGCTTGAAACAAAATAATAAACGATTACCGAGCACTTTCACATGAAGATGGTTCCTCTTTATACAACTTCTCTGACACTCATTGTAAATAAAGATGTACAAAGAAATGCTGATACTTACTGTATGGGACACATTCATATTGGACCTCAAGGTATTTGTAGGTCCCTGGACAAGGGTCAGGAAACACATCTGACCCAGTTATCACAACACATTGTGTTCGATTGTTGCACCTGTAATGAAAAAAAGCAAGATAATTCATTTAGCAGAGGATTTTCAATTCACAAGTTAAATGGAATGGTATAATACTGCTGAATTTGTCACACTAGGACAGCCAGATCAATAGTCAAGAGACACTTAATTAATATTACATTAACTGTGCCAGCAAACAAAGCTGTATAAAAACTCCCTAAAAATAATAACATCAGTAAACCATTGATTTAGACAAACCCAAATGTGCTGGAGCAGTCAATGAGAATAGTTCATAAAGAATTGGTGAAACACATTACATATCTTCACTCTATGATTTGTTATGGTTTTATTTTGCCTGCAAAAACAAATCCATTAATTGAGCCAAAATGCTTTCAGTTTATTGACCAGTAGAAAGATCAGTAACATTATTGTAAAGGCATTATATGCTAGAATCCAATTGTAATTTACAGACACTGGAAGCAATAAAAACAAGTGTTGGTGCACAGATGCTGGTAGAGTTGAGATTTCGATCAACATAACCATCCTTCTGCCAGTGTTTCCAAAAAAACAGCTCCACACAAAAGTGACAACACTGTTAATTGCAACTCTGGCTGTATACAACGCTTTGTGACCCTCTAAAAGATCGTACATAAGGTCCCACTTCATGTGCATTAAATAAACAACGGTAGTTCAGGGGTTATCTTACTGAATTTTAAGCCAGGCATTTCAGGAGTGACAGAGAGCAGGGCAAAAATGCTTGAGCAGTTATATTTACTGTTCAAAAATGCAGTGGTTCCCTGGTGGTTCAGCTGGTAAAGCTGCTGGCGAGTGTGAGACTGAGCTATATATTGTCAGGCATATCCTTGGCTCGAACCTGTGAACCTGCTGAGTTATTTCACCTTGGCCAAGGTAGCAGTAGGGGTGCTATGATTGACCTGACTGGTTTGCTCCTTATGGTCTCGTCATCTGCTGATAGTCAACGTCGAGGTTCACACATTAAAACAGTCACTCAGGTGAGGTGCTGGAGGGCAGCTGGCACCAGTAACACTGGAGCCCCTGCAGAAGTCAGCACCTTTGGGAGAGGGCAAGGTAAAATTGTACGGGGGAGAGAGAGAGAGACAATGAAAGCTTAAGAAAAAATGCAAACTAGGGCCAAACAATGCTGGGGGCCAAAAAATGTGGAGACTGGAAAAAAAATATCAGATTTTGAACAGCCTGACCCCCTCAGCAGCAATCAATGGCTGGATGAGCTCCAAAATAAAGCCCATTAATATTCACAGCATGATGGCCCATGCCAATGCTTGCCAGCGTGCCATGCTAAATCAACTCGGGAAACCTTCTCAGTGGCTTTTACGCCGGCTATAGCCTTCGCTCGAATAATTCTGAGGGCAAAGCTCTTTGTTCTATTGGATACTCTCCGAACTATTTCCTCACACGTGAGGGCTCTTTAGCTCGTTGGGAATGTACAATTAAAATGTAAAGTACACTCCAGTAGAAAAACGAATTTGTTTGGGCACTTGGTGATTTATAATAACAGATGTTTTGCACTGTTTGAAGTGCTTGGAGTGAAGGCTGAACTCATCTCCATTTACAATGGCAACATTTACGATGTGGACTTCACTGCATACTTGATAGAAAATTACCCAATAACAGAAGAAAAGCCTGCATAGAAATTAATAATGAAAATTATTGAAAAACATAAAACTAAACATTTGACAGAAGTATCCACTTAACTGTCGACTTAAGTGGTGTACACTAAGCAGACGCAGATTAGGAACATTTGAAGGGGCAGACCAGTCGTTGGGACAGGGATATTTCTCACTTAGCTCCTGATAATCCAGGAGGCCAAATCTCCACTGGATGGGGGTGACCCCAGCTGGAAAACGGCGTGAAACTTGGCAATCAGTTTGCTATGGGCTTTTAACTGGTTAAACTCCTACAGTGCCCCACTGCACACCCTGGGGACTTCAAGCCTTGGCTCCTGCCAGCCTATGCCTAATGCTTTCTGTAATTAGGTCCGTTCCTTTGTGGAGAGACTTCATCATCCATTCCAGACAAAAGAAAATTTCCATGCGAAGGTGACATGCGCTAGTGGAACTCTCAGCCTAGTTTGGGTACCAGCAATGCTGGGTTCAGACACATGTGGAGGAACAAATCTTTAATTGTACTGCTGTTCACTTCTCAGAGATGAAAGAGACTACAATGCTCACCAATACACATCACTGAAAACTTGGCAACAAAAATGGCTGCATCACAGCTATGTACTTTACACATCTTATCACTTCATGTTCTGACATCTACGTGCCAACACCGCAACATATTGAGCTTTTAACAGCCTGCCACTTACATGTCTAAAGTCCTACCTCCTACTTACTTTGGTCTTTTTACATCTTCTGCTATTATGTTTAGTTTTCTTCAACTGGCTTTGTACACCTCCCAAACATGTTTATTTCCCTTGTATCTTTTATAGTATATCTGTCTGAACCTGAGGTTGGTATTGACCTTTTTACTCAACCATCATGCTCTTACGTTTTGTTACATCTCTCTCATCTCTCAGGGGATATTTCCAAATTCCTTAAAATATAATTTTTTTAAAAAAAAACTTTTTTAAAAAAGTTGTGATTCCCTCTTAGTCTTACCCATACTTCGTCTCAGAGTTCCAAAGGTTGGTCTTTAAAATCTTACTGTTAGTTCTGGCCTTACTCCTAAATATAATATCAAAAGATGGAATGAATGAATGTATACGTTTCCAGCAGATCACTAAATACAAAACCTATTGCAATGATATTCATACGTCCTGATATTCATACGTTGTGTAAAGATATTTCCTTTATTATCCAAGCACATTAATCTTAGAATCATGTCTCCATATTAAATGTCACCTGCCACTCACCTACCCAGTCACCTACTCTTATAAGTCTGCTTGAATGCTATCTCTCTCCAAGGAATATTTTACTTCCCTTACATCAGCAGAGAGACACTCTGCTTACAACATCTTCATCAAGGTCGTTAATAAACCATTATAAACAGTAATAGTCCCCGGATTCATCCCTTGGGGACTCATCTGGTCATTGCAGTCCAGTATAAACTAATATTGCTGATAATGACCCTCTGTTTCCTATTATCAAGTCAATTAATTATCCAATTTGTAACTTCCTCGCTGATCCCTCGAGCTTTCACTTCATCTCTGCTTTTTTATGTGGGACCTTATCAAATGGCTTTCAAAAGTCTACATATAAAATAGCTACAACATTACTCTTATCCACTAACGTTACATTCTTGAAAAAATCCCATAAATTTGTTAGGCATGACCTGCCTTTCATGAATGCATGTTGACTTTGATTTATTGCACTTACTCTTGCTAAACGCTCCTGAATTGCTTCCTTTATAATAAATTCTAGTCATTTCCCACTGTAGATGTCAAACTAACTGGCTTATAATTCCCAGGATCATGCTTCTGACCTTTTTAAAGATGGCAATGACATTAGCTATTTTTCAGTTTTCTGGTACCACCCCATGTTCAATAAGTCATGTAGAATGGTGCCCATTGCACCATCTGCTTTTAGCTCGTGCCTTTTTATTCTCTTGGATGCATTCCATCTGCATGAGTGATTCATGAATCTTCAAAAAGTTGCTACTTGATGAAAATTTCATTGCTGGCCACAGCGTGATATGATCTCAATTGCATCCTTTGCCAGCTCGGTCACAGATTTGAGAACTTCCATCATCTATAGTGAAAAGCCATGTAAGAAATTAATCCAATAGTGTAGCAAAACAGTTAACCTCCTCTGCTGTTGCATTCACCTCAGTTATGCTGAAAGATACCTTGTGTTCTTCAATATCATCTGTTCTGAATGTACCGAAGAATCTTCTATTATTTCCATACATTTCCATTCAATTCTTTTCAGTCTATTTTCACCACAAATAATTTTTCTAGCGTTCTGCAATCTACTTGTGAATGCACTGTCCAGAAGGACATAGATGCTGAATCAATTGAGGTGTTTAAATTGAGGCGGTTAAAAGGGAGATAGATAGATACTTTGAAAGTGGGGACATTAAGAGACTTGGAGAAAAGACAGGGAAATTGGATGAAAAAGATAAGAGCCATGAATGAATGCAGTGGCAGAGGAGGCTCAATTTGCTGAATGGTTTATTTCTTTTCCGAGAGTCCTACTTTGGTATGGTTTTGATCTCCCTTCTCAGTTATCTGAAAGCTCTAAAAACAATCCTGCTTTTCCTCCTAGTAACTTTATCCATGCAAAATAGCAACAGAAGTGCATGCATGTGTGAAGTGTATAATTATCTGCACACATCACAAAAATACTTGATTTTTTATGATAAATGCAGGCTATCAAATAATTTTTCAACCAATGCTAATATGCAACATTCCTGAAAGGCAATTCCACCATGGCCGACACTTTACGCACTCATAGCAAAACTCAATAGTGGTCCTTCAAGCTTCAAAATCACCACCAAAAAAAATCAGCCAGCAGCCCCATCATAAAATCAAAAAAGACAAACCTAGCTTTCCTTTTATAGCCCAAACAGGGTCAAATATCCAACATTTATAAAGTGAATGTAAATTTAATAAAATATAAATATTTCAAGATTTCCTTCTAAGGACTCCCATCCTCTCCATGAAGAAATGCTATCAACCCAAAAATAAAATTGACATCTTGGCAAAATGCATGAAGAAATTGGCATATAGCTCTTTTTCTTCCACCCCCCAAAAACAGCTTTATCAAAGATTTCCCATCAAAACATTACACTTCAAAATCTCTGCCAATCTCCAACCGTGCCTGTTACATTTTCTTGCTTCTTCAATCTCTTCCCAGCTTTTATCATTGATCATGGAGCAAGCAGGAGGAAGGTCTTAGGAGTCTTTCCTAACATACTAAAGTCCTGACATTCCTTTTTGGGGGAGCTGATTCCTTTTTCTGTCTCCATTTCACCCAAGCTGTGTTACCCATGTGTTCATACCATTGCCAATGGTCTGCCCCCCCCAGTCCTACTCAGGTCCAATTCCTGTATTGTTAATTGA